TCGATGGCCTGTTCGACGTCAGTCCGACGGTGTCGTGGTGCGTTTGGCTGGGCGTTTGGCTCTCGTCCCGTTTGAGGCGACCAGGTCCTGCATCTCGCCCTTTGCCTGACAGGCGCGCGAGTCCGAGTGGCTCCGCTGTTGTTCGCGGCCCCGGGGCCCGGCCCGGCCCGGCCCCACCGCCCCACACCGGGCGGCTGGCTTGCCCCTGGCTTGTCGATGCCCCATTTAGAGTGCCTCAGCCGAGTTGACGGATTGTGGGTGGATCTCCGGGCAAGCCTAATGGCAAGCAACAGCGGCAGCGGAGTAGGGCCCGCCGAGCCGAAGCAAGGCAGGGCAAGGCCAGGCAAGGCGGCGGGGCGCGGCAGGGCGGGGCGCGGCAGGGCGGGCGCGGCGCGGCGGCTCGGCTGATCCAATAAACGCGTCTTGACGTAGGGCTACCCACAGCCTGGCCGTGACTAAGCGAGAGCGAGGGCTGAAACCCAAGGAGGGGGCGGGCCCCGGGCGGGGAGGCTGGCGGGAGGGGCACTTCGCAAGTGGGCCGGCGTGCACCCGCCCCAATATGGCAAACACTCCCCCCGAATTGGGTCCATTTGATGCGACTCGCTGAAGTAAAAAGCATGACTGCGACGGGAGGTGGGGGAGGGGGGGGGGTACCGGCCGCATTGTCCGCTCCACATCCGAGGCCGGCGCCACTGCACTGGGTCACTTCCGGCCTGAGAATGTGACCGCCAAAGCGCGCGTGATAGTGAACTGGACCCGCAACTCAGGATGAATTTCGCATAACTTGTGCAGCAAACTTGGGCTATGCAGCGGCGCGCGGGTACCCCGGCAGTGCGAGCCGGACGGGCCCGCCTGTCCGTCCTTCCGTCTTTCGGCCTGGTCGTGGCATTGTCTGCCTGGGCATCTGTCAATAGTTGCCAGTTCCCCTCCCTGGCCGTCTGTTCTCATCAAGTCGTCGGATTGCGGGGCTAGCCCTTTGCCCCCCCCCCCCCCCCAGCTCCTCCGTTCGGCCCCGAACCTTACAAGCGCCGCGGCGACCGCAGCTCTGCGTGCGCTCCCGGAACTACCCGAAGGCATTCCCGGCACTAGCGGCGCTCCCCGCACGAAGGCCGCGCGCGCCTCGGTTGCGGAGTCAGTGGCGAAAAGTTGCCGCCGGATGGTGTCGGCAGTAATTGAGTCGCCCCCTCCTCTCTTTTCCTATCTTTCTTCTTCTTTTTTTTTTTGTTTTTGCCAACTTTACTGCTCGCTCGCCGCCTCACCGCGGCGCACACCTCACTCAAAATAAAAATTCAACAGTTGTTTTCTGGCGCGCGCTGGCGGCCCAGCTGCGGCGAGGGAGGCCTGCCTGGCAGTGCCTGGCAGGGGGCTGCTGGCGTCGTTGGCCCGGCGATGGCGGATCCTGGAGGAGGAAACTGTATCGGGGCAGTTCCGACGACGACGTGGAGGGCGGGGTGGAGAGTCTGGACCACACAAAGGAGGCCCTCCGATTCGTCCCCGGATAAAGCGGCCCGCTTGTCTCGTTAGCGTGGCGTCGCAGGGCGGCGCGGCGCGGCCAGGTTCGATCCTCGTTCGGCTCGCAAAGTGGCGGGCTTTGTGCCCTGTTTATGTCGCTGTGCCCGGTGCTGCCGCGCTGCCGGTGCGCCCCGCGATTGAACGTCAGTGTTGGCGGCGCCGTTCGATCCCAACGAACGACCCGGCGCTCTCTCTCCGCCCCGGGCACGCCGCCCTGGCTCGGCCCCGGCCCCGCGCATGGATGGGAAACATGCGCTGGCAACAGCGTCGTTCCGGTGGTTTAAGGTTGCGCGGCGCCGTCGGCAGCATGGCGGCAGCATGACGGCAAGGCCCTTTACCGCTAGTTGCGGCCCTTGCGGCCCTTGCGGCCCTTGCGGCCGGCCCTTGATTCTTGATTCGCGGCGCCGTGTCGCCGTGACGGTCTCTAGGGCCGCCGGTTTTAAGGCCCATCGACCGGCACGCCGGGCTGACGCGCTGTTTATCCTTGGAGACGGCCTCGGCCTCCTTGACGGCGTACTCGCAGCAACACCGCGAGGCGAGGCAAAGCGCGCATCGGGATGGCCCATAAGACGGCGGCGTCAAGGTGCTCGGTGTGTGGCACACTGTGTGCCTCTGGCCTCGTCCTCTTCGACGGTCCTTTCATTTGGCTCGAACCGATCCCATCGGACTCCCTCCTCGCGGGGCAGTCCGTTGGCTGTGCCATGTGCTCGATTTGAGTTTATCGTGAGAACCGTGGGTCCAGCGTCGTTCGTGTCCGCTCGAACTGGCCTTCTGGCCGACTGCGCCACTCGCCGCGGACCCTTGCCGCGCACCGCGCACAGCGGCGGCAGAACGGATGGGGCGGGATGGAACTCCCCCGTACCGCTGCGGCCCGAGCGGCCAGAGCGGCCCGTCGCAGACCGCCACCGCAGCCACAGGCGGCCCCGGCAAACTGATTCTCCGTCGCTCTGTCTCTGTCGCACCCACGGGGCGTGGCGTGGGGCCCGTAGGGGTGCGACAGAGACAGAGCGACGGAACGACTCACTGGGCGGCTCATTGCTCGCGCGGCCGGACAATGTTGCAGCGAACGGCCGGGCGGCCGGAGGCGTCCTCGATCAACCGTGAACGGCCAACCGCAGCGCCGTGGCCGCGCCGCCGCCCAGTGTGTGTCCGCAGACACGCGGCGACCAGCTCATAAAGGTCGCAAGTGACGGGCTTAGCCGCCCCACCGCGCCCCTTCCCACTTTTAAATGGATTTTTGTTTTCCGAGCTCTCCCGGTCCTGGCCCGAGGCGATGCCACGGCGGTGGCTGGTTGCAGCTCTAGTACAGTGGGCCGCCATATTGCGGCGCGTGCATCCGCGCTCCTCCTTTCCTTGACTTACCCTCACTCCCCCCCCCCTTTTCCCTCGGCACGCCGTCACGCGTCTAATTAAAGGAACGGCGCCGTAAATGGCTGCAGCCTGCAAGGCCGCCGGGGCCTGCAGGGCCTGCAGGGCGGCCAGGACGTGGTGCACGCCGGACACGCCTCTGTAAAATACGGGCCAGCACAATGCGGGGGATGCCTTCCAAGGGTGCAGTTTGAATAATTGGCCCTGTAATGTGCACTGCAATCGACAGGGGGCGATTTACGTGACTTTTAGTGCCCCCCTTTTCTTGCTGGCAGTACGAACAACATTTTTGATGGCCCTTTTTGGTCTCTCTCGGTAAACTCTTGCCACGCAAACAGGCTCCTTGAACCGAGAACTTATCACAAGCGACGTGAAAAACCAGGACCACTGTGTATTTGGGTCCAGAGAATCCGTTCTGGTCGACACAGATATGGACTCTTTTGAGCTCTGCAGTCCTGATAGTCAAATAGCACTCGAATCAAACGCACGTGAGAGCGTCAAACCGATTCCTTCCGTTTGACGGTTCTGTGCCGCCATGTGTCCGCAGTCCCACCATTGGAGGACTGAAAGCTGCAAACGTGCCCGGAGCCCTGTCAGCGTGCTGGCTGGTGCTGGCTGCCGCTGGCTGTTGATCGGCACCCGTCCCGTCCCCCCCCCCCCCCCCCCCCCCCCCCCGGTCCGTCGCGCCTGTCTCACCTCCTGCCGCCGCTCCTCGCGCTGCCCGTCCATCAAATCGCTTTATTTATTGTCGCCGGGAAATGGACCGCGCGCCACTAATAGGATGACACTGATAAATAATGACTGGCGCGTTGTTGTTTTTTTTGTTTTTGTTGTTTTTTTGTCTTTGTTACTCGCGGCCCGGGGGTACCGGCTTGGCAGTGGCGTGACGCGGCCTGACCGCGAGCGGCTCCCTTAATTCATCCCGCGCGACGGCCGGCTTACGAGAGAAGGCCGAAGGGGGGCTGATTGCCTCCAGCCGGCCACGTTCTCAAATTTTAATTACAATGGCCGATTAATTCAAGCCCTTCGTTTAATAGACGCGGCGCGTGCATTTATTGAAACAAAGGCGAGTGAATTAAGCGGCGCGTTTGTCGGGCCGAAAGCCGCGCCGCGACGCGGCAACACAAATCACCCCCTCCCCTTTTTACGTCGTTTGACGAGCCGAAAGGCCCGAAAGGCCCGAAGGGGGTCGCGGACTCCCAGACGGTCTTTGTTTTTCTTTTCGCCGAGGAGGGAAGCAAGGGGCTCTACTTGGCGGGCGCGGCTCGCGGAGTCGCGGGGTGCTTGTTCCTGCCCGGCAGGCCTGCTGGGCCGGCCCGCCGGGCCCGGGCGCCAAGGAGAGGAAAAAGGGGCCGCAGTCTCTCCCATGAGAGTATGCCGCACGTGTGTGTGTGTGTGTGTGTCTGTGTGTGTGTTTGAATGCAGTCGCGCGTGTGTGTAGGTGTAGTTGCGTGCGTCTGTCGCACTCCTCCCCTCCCTCCCCCCCCCTCTCTCTCTCTCTCTCTCTCTCTCTCTCTCTCTCTCTCTCTCCTTTCTCCACAGGGTACACTCTATACAGGTCCAACTCGGTGTCCAACATGATGTCCCCCCCCCCGGTCACCAGTTTTTATGATGTACACCGCACAGCGACCCCGCCACGCACTCGTTGGCCCGCACAGCACTTGAATCATAACGGCCCTGTGTGGCCGCACGGCCGCATGGCCGCAACAAAAGTGCAATAAAATCAATGGCAGAACGGGGCGATGCGATGTGTTTAAAAGAGGCAAAAAAAATGATGTGCGCCTGCCGGCTATCCATTCGGTCCGCTTTGCCGGCCTCTGCGTCGGTCTGCCGCTCGGCCCGCCGGATCGAAACTCGCAACAACAATAGTGTTGGCCGGCCATTACCGCCGAGTAATGAGCGAAATGCGCGCCGCGCTGATTGGAACAACCTACAGTCGTAAATCGCGGCGGGCCGTTCCCGAAGAACGACCGCGCCTTTTTCACCGAATGGGAAAAAACATGGTGATTTGTCAGGTTTGCGCGAACATAAGCGCGAACCTCGTTTGGGTGTGTGTGAGTGAGTGTTGGAACCAGCTGCTTGACGAACTGAACCTCATATGTGGCGTCTTTGTGTTGCAGACAAGCCGGTGTGCGTGGAGGGCCAGAAGCGCGTCTACGGCGTGGCGCGCCAGGAGCGGGCCGAGGTCCTGTGCCAGGTAAAGTGCCTGCTGTTTCCAATCGTAGTTTCGTGTTTGTTTTCCGTTTTATTCTCTTTCATTTTGTCATTTTCTTCGTCTCTCGTCGAGCGACGAGAGATCAACTTTTCCGTCCCGGTCTTTATTTCCTTGGCGGAATACCTAATGACAGGAGGGAGCGAAGTTGGCGGGCTTTTGTTTCGATGTGCGAGTAGCTGGCCGTCCCGGCCAGGCTGCCACGCCAGGCTGCCACAGCCCACAGCCTGTGGGGTAGCCTGTCCCGCAAGACACCCGAGTCGAGCGGGCTGGCCTATCGCCGTGAGCGCGGGCGCTACGGCCAGGCCAACGGCCAGGCCCCGAGGACCCCGGCGCGGTCCGCACTCATTGTGCAACTGGCGCGCAACCGACACACTGGAGAACTGGAGCGCGCCGGGCCCGGCCAAGTTGGGTATCTTCTGATGGTGTTGCACGCGGTGTTGCAGGTGGCCGCCTACCCGCCGGCCGAGTCCTTCCGCTGGTCCTTCAACAACACCGCCGAGACGCAGGACGTGCCGCCGGCGCGCTACAGCACGGCGCCCACGCACGTCCCGGGCCGCGGCAGCGCCACGCACTCGGGCTCCACGCTCAGCTACACGCCCGCCACCGAGCTGGACTACGGCACCGTCATGTGCTGGGCCACCAACCGCGCCGGCAGCCAGGCAGAGCCCTGCGTCTTCCACATCATCGCCGCCGGTGAGGCTTCATAGCGCCAACACACACACACACACACACACACACACACTCGGGCGCGCAAATGGGACGCGGTTGTGATTACGGTGGCGCTGCGGGGAGAAAGAATGAAAGGGAAGAGTGAAGGCAGTGGTGTGCCTGTGTCTCTGGCCGCCTCTGGCTGTTGTGTCATTCGGAGCCACTGATTCGTTGATAACTCTTGACGGATGTGGCGTGAACCACTGATTCCACACCACGCAGACAGACAGACAGACAGACAGACAGACAGACAGACTGACTGACTGACAGACAGCTCTCAGTCGGTCACCATTCCACTCTCGCAGACGGACGGACGGACGAACCGACAGTCACGACGTATTTCCATTTTGCCGTCCGTGTCCCGATTCTGTCCGAGAGCAACTTTTCCGCATGCGGCGTTCGCGTGGTCGTTTTGGTCGGTGTGGCGGCACGTGGTGGGCGGGGTGGCGCGCCGCGGCCAGGTATCGCTTTCAGGTGGGAAGAGCGCATCAAACCGGCACAAAACACGAGGGACGAGGGATGCTTGCCGTGTAGAGGGGCTGCTACACGGCCAACCGCCCGCGGGGACGTCCCGGGACCGTGTCGTGTACTGTCTCCTGCACGGGGAGTCCCATCGGGGATGACTTGAGGAAAATAAATTGGCTCGAGTTCAGCTGTGATCCGCGGCGCGGGCCAGACCACACGACGCACTCGGAGTGCCGCGGGGCCGTGCCGTGGCGTGCCGTGCCGTGCCAGGCCGGGCCGCCATGCGCGAGGCTCGTCGATGGCGTCCAGCGGGCACGTCGGTGGGGAGGGGCGTCCGCCATTGGCTGACGTGTGTGTGCTGAGACGTTTTCGGATAAACAGCAGCAGGGGTCGAAAGGGTTCTTGATACGGTGCGGAGATGTGTATCCGTCGTTTTCTCACACTCTGGGTTTTGTTCTCGTCGTGTGGCGATCCCCGTCCGCTCCTCTAAACACACTTGCATACTCGCACAACCGCCTCCCTTCACTTTCACTCACCTCTCGTGTTCACCTACTCATATGGAGGGGGCGCGGCAGTGCTCCTTGGCCTCGACCAGACTCCTGCTCGATCTCCTCGAAGGTTCCCCTCGCAGCCTGCAACTAGTCAGCAACTACCATGACGAGTGTTGTGGCGGAGGAGACGCCCTTGCCGCTGGGCCCTCGACGCACGCGCACACACACGTGCCCAGACTTGCACACACAGGAGCAGTTGTGGGAACTAGTTCCTCTCCCTGACCGCGCCCCGCGCCCCTCCCTTCCCTGACGGTGTGGTTGCGTTGCAGGCAAGCCGGACACGCCCTTCAACTGCACGCTGCTGAACCAGACGTCGTCCGCGCTGGGCGTGGAGTGCGTGGCGGGCTTCGACGGCGGCCAGCCGCAGCGCTTCGAGCTGGAGGTGTACGAGGCCGCGTCGCACCGCCTGCTGGCCAACGTGTCCTCGGACCTGGCCGGCTTCACGGTGACGGGGCTGGCCCCCGGTCTGGTGCTGCGCATGCTGGTGTTCGGGACCAACAGCAAGGGCCGCTCCGAGCCCGCCAAGCTGGAGGGCTTTACGCTCAAGAGCGCCGAGAAGCAGACTGGTACGTATAGAGTGTCTGAAACTGAAGGAACCCTTGGCGCCGTACTTTCCGTCGACTGAACGAACTCGCAGTAGAGACTAACCAGCCGCTGCCACGCGACGCGCCGCGACGCGCTGCTGTTCCACCGAACTAATCCCTCTCGTCTCGTCGTGTTGTAGAAGAGAATCTGCTGTCCTTGCTAGGCCCGCCCGAGTTGACGCTGACGCCGGTGCTGGGCGGCGTGCTGGGCGTGGCGGCCGTGGCCGTGCTGGGCGCGCTGCTGGTGGCGCTCGTGGTCAAGCTGCGCGCCGGCTGCGCGCGCCCGCTGGGGCTGGCCCTGGGCGGCGGCCACGGCGGCCACGGCGGCCTCGGCGCGGCCGCGCGGCCCGCCCAGCTGCCCCTCAAGGACAAGGCCGCCCTGCCGCTGCGGGACGACGCCGACGACCTGCCGCCCTACTCCGACAAGGACGACCGCAACCCGGACCTCATCCCCTGCAACAAGGGTGAGTCGGCGAAAGCGCCAAGCCTCACTAGCGTAACTTTATTTTGCACGTAGCGGCCACACCGCTGAGTCGTGACGCGGCAGTGACGCGGAAGTGACGCAGTGGGGACGCGATCGCGACGCGGCCATGACGTGCCTTGTGTGTCGCCGGGCTAAGTGCGCGCCGGCACGCGACCCGCGGAAGGACGCCTGGATTTATAGCAAACAATAATAATGAGGGTTTCGGGGCGATCGGACTTCGGGCCGCCTCGGATTGCGTGCGCCTTCGATTTGCAGTGCCGCAGCGACACGAGCCGCGCACGCCACCACGTGTGTGTGTGTGTGTGTGTGTGTGTGTGTGTGTCTGTGTGTGTGTGTCCGTGTCTGCCTGGGCGAAGCGGCGCCCACGACACCCACACGCAGGGGCATATATGGATTTACTGGAATGCCAGCACCTCCTAAATCAACGCAGCTTGCCAGAGTTGAGGAGGAGGTGAGGGCGGGCCCGCCATGCCCGCCATGCCCGTGCGCGCACGAAAAACCGCACGGGACCGACAGTGACAAATGAAGGAGACTCTTGGAATGAACGGGCGGGGCCTCGCACCTAGAGAGAGAGAGAGGGGGGGAGGGGAGGAGACGGAAATGGGGGGATTTGCACTTTTCAATTTTCCACGCGTGCGTGACTGCCGCTCGAAGTAGTGCGTCGAACTACTGGTAGCGACGCGGCTTTCGCGGGCGCCATCCATTTCCCTGTTTTGGCGCCGCACCTTTCCTTGACGACGCCACAATCAGTCAAACAATGATCGATAAGGCCAAATCAGCTAATAAGTCGATCCATCACGCCGTGCCGGTATCAATCACACGTGTTGCCGGGCCGTGCCGAGCCGTGCCGTGCCGAGCCGTCGCGGACGGTCGTCGCTCCACTTCGCTGGGGAGTCGGTTGTCGGTTGCGCTGCGCGCGGTTGCGCGTTCCCTTGGATGGATCGGGACGAACGCACTCCTAAAATCGAAAAGCGCATTTTCCGCTTTCGCACGGGGCACTCTTGTTTGCTCGGGAGGCCGAAAATTCATAGTGAAATGCGTCACAGGACGGAACCATCTCATCAGTTGTTCTTAGACTGGCCAAGTTGTACTTTATTTTTTCTTTCCCTGTGAGCACGTGCCGTTGCCGTCCGGATGGCGTGTAGTGTAATGAGACATAGTCGTTTTCGCCGTCGTCGGCGTCGGCGTCCGCGCCGAAAATGAAAACATTTCGATAACAGGGTGCTGAGTGCTGACGCTGCTCTGCGACAGCGCCCCGATGTAATTCTTTTCTTTGGTAGGAAGGCGAATAATGTCGAAATTACGGTCCCGGCGAGCACGGCAGCACGGGCCCGGCGGGCGTCGGCCGTGGAGCCGTGCAGATGTTGCAGTCACTGCCTTTCACTCACTCCGGGCACAACAGGAAATCTGCGAAGGCCGCGGGGGCCGTGTCTATGGCGACAGGGCTCTCTGCGCTCGTTCGTTCGGAGTCCACGTCGCAGGCCCGGCCCGGCCCGGCCGGGGGGCGGAGGGCGGCTGGCCGGCAGCGGAGCGGGCGGGGGCGGGGAGGGGGCGGGGAGGGGGCGGTCCCATCGAAGGCCCCAAGGACCTCGGCGCCCCCAAGCCCAAGGCGCTGCTGGCGGTCTCACCACCGCCCGTCACCGGGCCAACCTTTTTAAATTGCGTCCTTAAGACTCTGAATCGCGTATAATTAGGTATTTAATAGGATTCGCAAATCTCGCCCCTCCCCTTTTTGGGCAGTCAGTATTATTTTTGTTTCGGATCGGGCCGTTGGAACGCTGGGCCTCGCTGTGCAAATCCAAGAGGGGCGCGGGGGCGGGGCGCTGTGGGCTTAAGGATTACCTGGCCCGGCCCCGCCCCGCGAGGATTCTCCTATTTCTATCTTCACCAGCGCCGCTGAGCCCGCCGGAGTCAGGCCGTATAGAGTCGCACCGAAATACACACACACATTCACACTCCACACATACACACATAGTATCTCTCTCTCTCTCTCTCTCTCTCTCTCTCTCTCTCTCTCTCTCTACACACACACACACACTCTCTCGCGCGCGCGCGCGCGCGCCACTACCTGGTACAACGGTGTCATACGTCACCAGTCACCAGTCAGACAATGGCTGCAAATAAATAAAAAATGAACCCTACGACTCCTCCCTCCATTCGGAGTTCGAGCCGTAAAGGGTCGGTACGTTGTCACGGGCCTGGTGCTCCCGTAGTCCCCCGCACCGGGGCATCCAACAAGTTCATCGGGCCAGATTGCCACGTTTCCCAAGCAGTACCGGCCCCCTTCCCACTCGGCGAGCCACTGCTGGTACAACGGAGTCATACGCCACCCTTCCCAGTCGGACGGTGACCGACCGTCGAAAGGTTGTATATATACCTCACGGAGTAAGAGGAGTTACCACCGCGAGGGAAGCGCCCGTCGACGCAAAATGGCGAAGTCGGAATGTGGTCCGAAAATTGTGGACACAGCGGGTGTCGATCCCCGGATCACCAGGTCGGGATCGGACGCCCCTACGCATTCAGCCACCGCGGCTCGTCGATGGGTCGGTAAGGCGGTGGGTATGAAGCCAGGCTTGATTCGCTCAATGTTTCTCACAGTGGGGAGGCAGACGCTCTGTCTCGCTGCAGGCCGCGCCCCGCCGCGCCCCTGTCACGCATGTCGCTATAAAAGCGCCACGTAATGAAATAGAAGCAGCGTAGCCCGGCCTCGACGCCATCTCGGTCCTCGGTCTCCACGGCGCGCGGGGTTTTTGAACCGCACCGCGCATTCACGCCCCAGAGTTATCATTGGCGAATTTATGAAGTCGGCGGCGGGGGATGATTGGAATGCGAGCGAGGGGAGGGGCGGGGAGGCCTGGCGGCATTGTACGCGCAGATTGGACCAAGGTATTGTGGGGGGGGGGCAGGGCCGCATAATCCTCTCGGTTTTACACCGCCGTTTTCATTATTACCCATAAGAACTCGGGAGGCGCCGGGACGGCCGGGACGCGCCAACAACGGCGTAGTCGCGCGCGCCCGCTACGTCGCAGTAAAAAAAAATGTGTAGGCGCGAGGCGGCCAGCCCTGCCAGTCCTGCCCGCACCGGCGTGGGGATCAGCATAAATGTTGTCTTGGACGAACCGGATTACAGCCCGCGAGGCCAGCACTGCCAGTCCGGCCTGCCGCAGTGGCGCTGTGCGGCCGCTGACCGGAGCGGCAGGAGAGGGGAGGGGGGGGGGGAGCGCCCTGCGGGTAGGCAGCGCCGCCACTGCCGTGTCGGGCGGGCGGGCCTACCCTCGCGAACGCAGGCGCCAAGCGCCAAGCCGGCAGGCGCGCCGATCCTTTCTGTCCTTCCTTCCCCTTCGTTTTCCGTTCTTTCTTCACCCATTCTACCTTTTGCCCATTCTACCATTCTTTCTTTTTCCATTTTGTCTTCTCCCATTCTATCCTTTCTTTCCTCGCCTTCAGTTCCCTTAATTTTTGTTTTCTCTTTTTGGCCCTTGTTTTGTCTCCCTGTGCTCTCTCTCTCTCTCTCTCTCTCTCTCTCTCTCTCTCTCTCTCTCTCTCTCTCTCTCTCTCTCTCTCTCTCTCTCTCTCCCCAATTGATTCTTATTATCCTTCTTGCCTCCATTTTGCTCTTTTTCTCTTTCCTTTGCCATTCTCCTGTTCCCGCCACAGCTATTACGATAGGAAGGCCCGGCTGCATTCTCGTCGGCCGGAAGTGTGCAGTTTTGAGTAGTGGTGCGGCTGCCCTGCCAGCCTCGCCGGGGCGGCGCTCTCTCAATTACGCCCCTCGCCGCGCCGCGGGCCGCGGGGGCGAGAGCGAGATGGGGTTGAAGCGAGTGCGTCGCGGGAACAGCCTGGGAACAGCCTGGGAACAGCGCAACTCCGCGCCATATTTTATCTGGTCCATAAAGCAACCAACAGCCACCGTGGCGAGGCCGTGCTGCCGCGCACTGCCGCGGCGAGGCCACTAGTTGGGACTGTAATAGCCACATACAGCTTGCACGCAGGCTTGTTGGTGGTCGGCCCGGTGCGGTGCGGAGCTGCGGCCGGAGGTCTTTGTCCTAGATGATGCACTCTGCGGCGCTGCCCGGTGCTGCCCGGCCCGGTGCTGCCCCCTGCCCCCAGCGCCCCGGGGCCAGGGCCTCCCGGCCTCTCAAACTCCCATCGAAGCAGCGAGGCAGCGAAGCAGCACGGAAAGTTGAGGCCACGCCGTTTCTCAGCCGCGTCTTCGGCACCGCCCCCTCGCCAACCCCCGCGCCCCGCCCATCGGCCGCGACTTAGCGAGGTGTGAAAGTGCTATATAAATACATGAGGCCGCCATCAAACTGGGGTCAGCGGTCAGCCGGACGAGCGCCCGCTGGCGTCGCAGGGTCTACATCGTTTGTCCGACCTGCCGAAATTTGTCCGACCTCCTTTTCCCTTAAATTTTTGTCCGACCGACGTTTGTTCGATCACTTTTCAGGAAAGAGGGAGGGGGAGAGTAGAAATATCCCACGACGTCAGTGACAGATTGGTCGTCAGGATGGACAAAGGGGGCGGCCACGGTGCACATCGTTTGTCCGACCTTTGTACGACCTGTCCAAATTTCACTTGCCCGTGAATCGGCTGAAAATTTTGTCCGACCTCCGTTTTGTCCGACCCACTTACACCGCCGCGCGGTCAGGCTGCAGCTAGAGAGCAACTCAGCGGCGCTCAATTGATCTAAACACCCGCGGCTCACTCTCTATGTCAATCAAGACTGGATGCAGGACAATCCAAAGACATTTTAACACAAAATGTATTCAGAGTAACAGAAGTAAAATGAACACTATAAAGAAAATTTCAGCGAAAGAGGGCACCCCGGCAAACCCGGCCCCTTCCCCGCTGGCTTGGTGGACCAGTGGTTCCCCCATCTCATCACAGGAGCAACCTCAGAGTTAAACCGCAGTGGCCCCGTCATTGGTCACGTCATCTGTGATGTGGAGGAGTCCTCTCATAGTAGGCCAGGCTGCCACCTTTCGCAGTAGTCGGGTTTCGATCCCCGGCCCCCTTCCCACTCAGGGGCCATGCTACTGGTACTCAGGAGTCTGCGTCACCCTGCCCAGCAGCGGAACCACTGGGCTATGAGAGGCACACTGGACGCCGGCCGATTTTGTATACTTGAACTGCCTTCTTGCGATGCAAGCTTGGTCAAAATATTCTTTGAGGTGCTGGGTATCGAACCCCGGACCCCGCAGTCGGGACCCGACGCCTCTGCTCTCTCGGCCACCACGGCCCATAGGTGGCGATGTGCGAAGGGGAGCATTTGAAGCCGCTGGTCCGAACCGTATAGTCAGACAAAAAGAGCGGGAAGCTGGTATCCGATCGCTCGACCCGAGAGTAGAATACAGATAGCTCGACACGTTCGGCCATCGTGGCTCTCCCGGAGAGGCGAGTAGCGCAACGGGTCCAAACCGCATCGGGAAAGCCACGCCCAAAATGTAAAGTATTGCTGAGAGTCGAACCCAAGCCCCTGAAGTTGCGGGTCAACGCCTCTGCGCTCTCGGCCACCACGGTCCATGGGTGATATTGTGCTAAGAGGAGCCTTTGAAGCCGCTGGTCCGAACCGTCTAGTCAGACAAAAGGAGCGGAAAGCTGGTATCCGATCGCTCGACCCGAGAGTAGAATAATACAGACAGCTCGACACGTTCGGCCATCGCGGCTCTCCGGGAGAGCCGAGTGGCGCAACGGGTCCAAACCGAAACGGGAAAGCCACGCCCAAAATGTAAAGAATGGCTGGGAGTCGAACCCTAGCCCCTGGAGTTGCGGGTCGACGCCTTTGCGCTCTCGTCCACCACGGCTCGTGAGTAACGGGGTGCGAAGAGGAGCTTCTGAAGCCGCTGGTCCGAACCGTAGTCAGACAAAAAGAGCGGGGAGCTGATATCCGATCGCTCGATCCGAGTATAGGATAGGTTGCAGACATTTCTACACGTTCGGCCACCGCGGCTCACCGGGTGAGACGAGTGGCGCAACGGATCCAAACCGCATCGGGAAAGCCACTCCTAAAATGTAAAGAATTGCTGGGAGCCGAACCCTAGCCCCGAGCGATCGAATACTAGCTTCCCGCTCTTTTTGTCTGACTACGAATACGGTTTGGACCAGCAGTTTTTCCCATTCTCCCCTTTTTTCCCTTCAACGCTTCACCCAATTTTGCCTTTTGGTGGCCCCTGAGCTCTGTACTCTCTGCTCCCTTCTGCGGTCTCGGGTTCTCTCCCTCACTCCTCCCCCCCAAAAATTTATTTTTGCCCCACGTTTTTCCCCCCCACGCAAAAAGGGGGCGGTTCAAGTGTGCATTTTAAGGGGCCCGGCGTCCAGTGCGGGGCCCTCCCCAATTAGCCCAGTGGTTCCCCCTGCGGGCCGGGGTGGCGAGACCCCGAGATCGGTTGCATCCCCGAGTGGGAAGGGGGCCGGGAATCGCGAACCCGCCCCAAAACGGGCCGAAAAAGGTGGCGGGGCCGGCCGCACGCTGCCGCGCACTCCGCGCAGCCACATTTGGGGACGAAAAACCAATACAGCTTCCCACGCGGTTTAATTGGGGGTTTGGGCCCTGTGCGTGCGGCTGGGGGAGGCCCTGGTGCACCAGCCGCGGGGAAGCCGGGCCGGTTCGCCGGGGGCCCCTTTCGCCTCTAAATTTTCATCGTAAGAGTTGAGGGTACGTTGTTACTCTAAAATTACATTCGTTTTCAGTCCGTCTTCGGATTGCCCTGCACCCCCACCCCCTTGATTGCCCGTAGACTAGTGAGGTGGGTGTTTAAAAGATAATTTGAGGCCGCCATTGGTCAGCGGTCGGGACAAAGCGCCGGGTCGCACTCTCGGCCGCACACGCCGCTGCAGTTTGCAGTGTTGCGCGTCCCGAGATGAGCTTGGCAGCGTCGTCACGAAAATGTCGCTTGTCGCCCCGCTCTGGGCGTGCGGCCTCGTCGCTGCGGGCCCCTCGCGCCGTTCTTACCTACTTGACCTGCAATAAATAAGGGATACAGCAGCCCGCTGCGCTGCAAACTACTACAAGACGAGGCAAGACAAATACCATTCGCTGAAGCGCTGGGAGCGGGCGGCGCGGGGCGGCGCGGGGCGGCGAGACCGCGAGGACGTCGTGTGACGGCGCAGGACGGCGCCGGATGGTGCTGGATGCCATGTTTGTCTTGACTTGGTGTTCCCGGCCGGGCCGGCCTCGCGGTCCCCGCCTGCCCCGGCCATTGACTGCAGCGGGCTTCTTTTTGGTGGGAGAGACGCCGGGGCGGCCGAGAGTCGTCCTTGACTGTGTACCATCCACGAAACACAGGGGCAAAGGGCCCGGCAGGCTCGGCAGGGCCGGCAGGGCCGGCAGGGCAGCCCCTGGGACTTATCCAAGGGCCAGATAGAGTGGGCCGCCGCCTTTGCCTTTCAAATTGCTCCGGGTTTAGACCCGCCGCGCACCTGCCCGCCCCGCCCCGCCGCCAGTTGTCCCTGATCGCACCGCACCAACCAATGGCTGCCCCGCCCCGCCCGCCCTGCCGGATTACTGCGACACATCCAGGCTGGATAGACAGACTGCCCCGGAGCCAGGCCGTGGCCCGGGCCGCCTCTCAAGGCGAGGCGCCCTGAGGCAGCCGCGCCGGAAAGCTCCGGACCCGCTTCCGGAACACGGCTTGGCTCGGCTCGGCACGGGTGCAGGTGGATGGAAGTGCGGCACCCGGTGGCCCGGTGGCTCGGTACACAGGCCGAGGATATCCCTTGTTTGCGGATTCATTGCCCTCCATTCACGCGAGCGGCGGGGCGGCGGGGCGGCGGGGCGGCGGGACGGCCCTGAAAAGGCACAAGGCTGATTAGACGGCAGCAGGCGGTGCGGCGCGGTGCGGTGCGGCGGGCAACCCCTTACCGGCTGGCTGCTGGGGTGGAGGAGGCCTCACCATGCTACGCCGTGCTTCGCCGTGCCTCGCTGTGCCTCGCTGTGCCTCGCTGTGCCCCGCGTTGCGAGGCGCGACGGCGCCGCTCGCCTCGCCGGATGGAAGGTGTGAATAGTTATCCCCGCCTGGCCGCGCCCCGCTCCACCGATGCCGAACAGCTGAGCGGTTCGTGGCCGTCTCTCACGCACCCCCGCGGGACGCTCCGTGAGTGCGACGGAGACAGAGCGACGAAAAGGCTCTTCGAAATCTGCCTGCTGCGAGGCCGTGTCCTCGCGGCCCGAAGAACCGAACCATCTTGGCTGTCGTAACCCGCGGCGCGAGACTCTCATCGCTGCCTCCTCGGGAGGCTCTCGCGCTCGGAGAAGCAATGATCAATCTAATGAGATTGACGTTTGACTGCGTCGTCGTGGCCAAATGTGTCGCATCCATACGGTGTATATGCAGTGACGAGGGGTTGTGTAGGAGGGTGGTTGGACTTCGTATCCCCCCCCCCACACACACACACACTGCGGACGCTGGGGACACACTGCCATGGGGCGATGTGACCACGTTATGCATACCGTTCGCGGAGCGTAGTTATGAAAACTGTTTACACTGCAAACACCAAAGCCTGCTGTGCTACCGATGGTGCAAGCTACTAAATAGCTCGCTGCTGGCCTGGCTGCCCCGAGGCTGCTGTCCGCCGCCCACCCCGCGCCAGGGTCCACACAGTGGGCCGGCTGGGCAACGAAGCCAGCCTCGCAAGAGAGATAGTCGACGGTGATATTGGGCGCGCATGCAGCAAGCTGCCTCTTACTCTCACTTTGTGACACTGTTTACGCCCTTCCGTGGGGGGCACCTTGTTCGCACAGGTTTATGCTGCCAACGCCTTGAAGGTACAGCAGTAATACAGCTTCTTCGATCGTCCCAGGGTGGGGGGGGGGGAGGGAGGGGATGAAGAACTCAGCTGAGGCAAGTCTATCCCTGGCCGTAAAAAAATGGGCAAGCCGATTCGGAGGAGGGGGCGGGCGGGGATGTAAGTGCAGGGATGTGACCGCGGCGGGGATGGCCGTTGAGTGGCCTTGCTCTGCCCGCACCCTGCAACATGTTGTACTAAACCGACGTCTGGTCTGTTTCAGATTCGGACTACCAGCTGGGCACGCCCGGCCAGAAGACGCTGACCCCGGACAACGGTGTGCTGGGCGGCCACCACGGCGTGGTGCACGCCACGCTGCGCAACGGCGACGTCTTCAGCAAGCAGGACAACCGGGAGGCGGAGCGGGAGCGCTACATCGGCAGACAGGTGAGCCAGGCACGGCCAGGCACGGCCAGGCACGCGTCCTGCCAGGACACCCGTTTCCAGGACAGGGGTGCCCAGTCCGTCGTTTCGTCCTGGAAACGGGTGCCTTTGGCCACGTTTGTCACCCGGCTCCAGGACGGCGTCGTTTCCAGGACCAAACTGGTTCAACTTCGCCTCCCCCGTCCTGGAAACGGGTGTCCTGGTACGTAAAGGATGCGTCGGTCCTCTTTCAGGACCGACTCACGCGCGCGCGCGCGCTTTCAGGACAGTCTTAGCGTGTGCCGCCGTGTGCCGCGAGCTGTTTGGCGTGGGCTTCCCGACGCGCAGACGCGCTGGGCGTCGCGCTGTCCGACGCAGCGCCGCGCCGCCGCCGCGCCGCCCCGGGCCGCGTAACATTACCCCGCGTTGCTCTTAACTACCTCGCGCCAAGTCTCTCTTGCCCCGGAACACAACATGGCAGGGCGCGGCGCGGCGCGCTGCTGCTCTTAGCCGTTCCCCGACCTCGCCCGACCTCGCCCGACCTCGCCCCAACGTCGGGCCTGCGCCCCGCGCGCATCCGAGCGTGGTAACCTTTCTTGGTCTGCCACCGGCTGTTCGGACCCTTGGCCGCTCCGCCAGCCCCGCCCCGACGCGCCTCGCCTCCAGAACGAGCTGCTCGAGTTCATCCACACCTTGCCACAACGCCACTGTTGCTTCCCAGGCGGTCGCCTCCTGCGCCTCTACGAGAAACACCTCTAAATCCGCGGCAGTATACCTCTAAAATATAAACATCGGAATCCCATCCACGCAATATCCGTCAGATGCATAGGTGATTACGTTGTTTAGGGTTATACTGCCTTCCATTCTCGTCTGCTCGGATCTAGAGGTGTTTCTCGTAGAGGCACAGAAGGCGCTATCTAGTATTATGTAAAATATCGTTACAGTTTCGGGAGGTGCGGTGCAGATGTTTGTGCAACATTGGTGCCCTTACCTTGGATCCCTTAGAACTCGAGCCTCGTTTTGAAGGGCAATCCTAGGGTACGACCCCCGTGTGTTTGATTCGAGTCCCATTTCCCACTGATGGAGTCTGGAGCTCAAACTGTGCCCAGAGGTGGCGCCTAGCCTGGTCTTTCCTTTCTGCCCTCTTCATTGCTCCTCGGTGAGCAGGGTGCCCCCGCAAGCCCTACTCTACCGGTGCGCGGGGCACACCCCGGGCACGCCCGAGGCGGCACTCGCTGCAGCCTTGTCAATCCCACGGACCTCCATTCCGCTTTTGTCGTCGGCCTGCTGCCGCCTGCTGCTCCCTCCTCGGCGTGGCGGGGCGTGGCGGGGCGTGGCGAGCAGGCCAGACAAAGTACTCGCCGTATATCCTCAAGACTACCCCACCCCCTCCCTCCCCGGCCTTTCCGCCCCGCTGGTGTGTCGAGCTACGCAGGAATATTTTGAATTAATGGCGCGGAGTAGCCCCAGCTAGGGATCAAGTTCCTCTCTGCGCCGCCCCAGCACCAAGCTCCGGCTGGGCCGGCCTGCCTGGAGTGCCGAGTGCCCGGGCACCGCGTGGATGGCGAGTGGCGAGTGGCGAGCCACGCCGCCCCACAAAGAACAACAAAGACAGCAGGACCTTGCCGCGCCCGGCCCGCCGCGGGGCTCGGTGACCACGTGACCACCTCCGGTGGCGGTGGCTTTGAAAATGGATTTCCTGCAGCGGTGGCCCGGGCCCGCTCGGCGAGCTTGGCGTCCGCTGCACTTGCCACATCTGCGGACGGCATCGCGGCGGTATTGTGGAGGGCGGCGAGGAGGCTCACAAAGGCAGCAGTGGCGGCAGAACGCCAAGGCGGAAGGCCTCAGTCACTTAATTCCCGTTTGCTGCAGACTTTGTTTTTGTCGCCGCTTCGCCGCTTTATTTTCATGTGGCGCCTCCCTCTTCCTCTCCGCTTTCCCCGACGGCGCTGCCGTGCAGCCCATTGGCTCGGCGCGCCCGACGCCGTGAATAATCAGCCTGTTTTTTGCACGTGCCCGCAGGACGACGAGGTGACGTACGCGGAGCTGGTGCTGTCCGGGAGGGCCGCCCACGCCGCGGACGCCAACGGCGGCGGCACGCTGCGGCGCGGCGTGGCCACCATGGGCCGCGAGCCCACCATCTACGCCCAGATCGACCACTCGCGGAAGGGGCTGGCCGGCACGCCGCCGTCTCTGGGCACGTCGCTGTCCATGTCGCCGTCGTGCAGCGTGGGCGGCATGGCGGGCGTGGGCGGCATGGCGCCGCCGCTGCGGGAGATCGTCACCGTGCGGACACCCCTCATGGCCTCGCAGCAGGAGAGCTGCGTGTAAGGCAGTGCGATAGGCAGTGTGTGTGATAGTTTGATAGTGTGCGGACCTCGCGGGGCCGGACGCTAAGAGCATCGGACTCGCCTGCCGGCCCGTTCCGGGGAGCACGTGGCCCTGCGCCTAGATAGATAGTAGCAATGCTGGCCGCGTGGCCGCTCCGAAGCCGCCGTGCTCGCTGGTCGGCACGCCGCGCTTCGGCAACCGCAGCATCGCAGTCGTGTGCGCTGACTTGGCAGACTCGGCGTTCAACGCGCCTCAAAGCAGAGAGCACGCATCCAGACTTTGGGAGTCGTGTTGCACCTTTTGCCTGGCAGGCGGATTCAGAATGGGGCGACTCTTTGCCTACCTTGCGGGTGGATCGCATCCCTGTATTCGCGCCTGCTGGCTGGCTGCAGCACCGATTGCCTACCGATCAGGCGTGTCACTGGCGTCGTGAAGGCTGTTCATCCCCTTCACCCTTCTACATGTTTATAATGTGTCGCTATCTCTGTTTACCCTGTGCTGATTTTCGCTCTTTCGTGCACTCTTCTTGTCTGCATGTGTGACACTTTTGGTGCCGTCTTCTCCAGCTGTAAGGTCGGAAAGAAGCTTTACAGACTCTCGTTCTATGAAATGTGAGTGTGTGTGAGCGTGTCGTGAGAAAAAAAGAGTGTATGTAGTGTAATCAGAACTAAGCCAACACGCCTTGCTTTGCTTGATGTATATAGTGTACATTTGTGTTTACTGCCATAAAGAAAGATGAAATCAAGGCAGTTTAAAATTTGTGATATGGATGAACTGAATGCAAGCGTATCACCTTGTAAATAATTCTGCAGTGCTCCATCTTATTTTTGTACTTTCCAGCCTGGAAAACTGGTGCCGGAAATGGATGATCGATCTCTTATTGTTTTCGTGGTTTGTTACCTCTGCTCGGTCCTCTGTTTCCGCCGTCCTTCCGAAACGTTACATCCCTGGCACTGCCGACGCACAAAATATCATTTCACAACTAGTATTTAGTCTAAATTTTTGTTTCCCGATTGTGAGTTTTCTTAGAGTAGGGCTAGAGTTGTTTGGACTCCGGATGATTCAGAACGTCATCTGGAAGAGTCGTAATTTCTGAGGCCCTCTTTCTCTTTAAGCCATCTTCGGCAGCCCCTCGGTTTCGCTCTGCCCTGTGAGCCATCTCACTCCAGCACACCCCGAGGCATGTACCATTATCATTATAACTATAAGCCTCAATTCAGGCGCGGTTTAAGGAGCCCCCGCCAGGGGGTGCGATTGTGTATATTTTGCCTACATACAGGGGCATGTGATGCTGGTTGCCTACTATCAGGCGTTTATGCACCCTTGAACTTGAACTTGAGAGGCTAGACCACAAATGATCCTTTGCCGTTCGGGCCCGGTAACTGCCCCTCCCCCCTAAACCACGCCTGCCTCAATTTACCCTTGTTCGTGGACTGCGGCAGAAATGCGGCTCTTACACGTTCAGGTGTTTAACCCAATACTAATCAGAAAACAAAAAAACGTATGTTGTTGCAATGCTTGGGGTGGTGGCATATCATTTCAGTCACTTTGAACGTAATAAATGTACGTTTTCCTTGCCAAAAAGGCAGTGCGTTAGTGCGTTTTTAATGAAAGTGAACCTTGCATACTACTGTTCGACTAATGTATTATTTTGTATAGAACGTAGACAGTGCGTGGCCTCGGGCCGCGCCGTACTTGACTGTATAGTAATTAAATGGAAATATTTCGGTGGAGTGTCGTTGGCCACCTTCTGTACATTTTGTGTATGAATGAGAGTTTTAATGTCGATATTTTTGTACTGATATGATTGTACAGATAGGAAAATTATGTAAATACGATATGACCTTCTTGGTCTCTTTGTGCATATCGACAAGTAGCATACGCGACCAGAGATATTATTACCATAATTAAAATTATTATTATAATTGTATATGTACAGATATGTCTTTTGTTCACTAAGTCAAAGGTTGTGCATCAGGCACTCTCCTATTTATCTTTGTTGTGTATAAGGTATTTGCCCACCGTTCCCCACCGTTTCACTCTAGGTATTCCAAAGTCTTTCGGCGGCCAAGAGGCAAGCAAAGAAAGATAGTATAAGTATTCCCATCCCCCGCGCGAGAGGAACCCCTCTCTGCGCCGACGCTAGTACCTGTTCTTCACCAAGAGCTCCTGTTTTTTCTTTTCATTTCTTAGTATTCAGGGATCACAACCCTCCTGCATGATTTTGTAATACTAGCAAGCGGCGTGTCATACGCGAAACTATGTGCCATAAATGATGTAAGTCACATTTTATGTAATAATTCTTAATAATTAAATAAAGAGATATACAAAAGCATTTCTGTCTTTCTCGGCCATTCCTGTTGAGAACGCGGTTGCCTACTACGTTGCATCCACACAAACTACTTGGTTTCCTTTCAGTATTCTGACTACCAGCCTGTATCGTGCCAGAAGGGCGGTATACCTTCCCGGCGCAATGTTACATCGGCGACAAAAAATGCCTTTTCTCGCGACGCTGGTTGAGAGGTCTGGTGCGACGATGGGTTGCCTACCTTCTTGACGCGTGCTCAGATGATTCCAGTTTTTCGCGAAGACACGGCCAGAGATGAAGCATGCGCGATTTAAGGAGCTTTCGACAGGGAGGGCGAGGGGCATGTGATGCTGGTTGCCTACTATCAGGCGTTTTGGGTGGGGAATCCCCCTTCCCCTTCCCCTTAAACCACGCCTGAGATGAAGACAGACATAGGGAGAGAGAAAGTGGGGGGGGGAGGGGGAGAGAGAAAGGTGAGGAGGAGGAGGAGGAGTCGGCAGAAAGAGGAGAAGGATACAGCATTAATAGGCCCATTTGCAAGTTAGAACAGCAGTATGCAAATGCTGGCATCATTAGAGAAGGGTTAGTTGATAGCACTTCGGGGCGCGCCAGGCTTTTGCTGTCCCTGTAAATGCCGAACACTAACTCGTCGCGGTGTTCATATCTCGCGGCCAGAAGGAACCCCAGATCCCTCGAAGGAAGAAGGCCACTGGCCAGCTCACGGTCTAGCTAGGTTCAGCCTACCTCAACTAATCTTACCCAACCAAACAAACCAGCCCAACTCCGCTTGAAGTCTCACAGAGGGCTTTTTCAAGGTCTCAGTTCGAGTTTTTCAACGTCCTGATCTCTAGATGTGGGCGGTTCCGATGTCCCACGGCTGGCGTTTTTGAGGTCTTACCCTTATTTCGACCTCTCACAACAGGCCTTCGCTAGGTCTCGCGAGGGCCAGCGAGGTCGGTCGCACGACACGCGTTTTCGAGTGCGTGTCGTTGTCGTGCGGCAGCGAGAGGGCTGCCTATAGTCACTTTGCTCCAAGTATTTTTCACTCGAGTTGAAGAGGACACCCGCAAACTGAGCGCGGGGGAGGGGGGGCGAGGAGGAGGACAGCAGTGTCGCCCTGCTGGCCAGCCCTGCCCCCAAATCCCTTTTCCTTCCATTTTTCTGCCGACCCTACCCGCTTCTTCTTCTTGCATCTGTGACGAATTGCGCCCATTTAAGAATTCATAGTAGCCATCCCGTCCGCCTTCTCCTCCCTTCATTCGTGGACAGACCCTCTCTGCTCGGCGTGGCGTGGCATGCGGCGCGGCGTGGTCCGGGCCACAGAAAAAACAACGACCTAAAAGATGCAATATTTTATGACGGTCCTGCAAAACGGTGCTATATTACTGTCAAACGAAACAAACTGCAAAGATCCTCGAACGGGTTCGCTGTTAAGTGGAGAAGAGCTTCTGCAAACGGGGAAGGGGGGAGGCCGTCCAATATAGCCTTCACACACCGGCTGCCGATTCGCTGCCTTCGTCCGCCGATTGAGACTTTTGGTCGGCGCCTCGGCGCGGATGGTGACTGAGGCCGAAAAAAGCGGCCCATATTTCCAGAGAAATTGACAAAGTAGCTGACCCCATCTGGCGCTCATCTCTCACATGTTTTTTTTTTTTTGCCGCTCTGCTTCTCACTCTACCCTCGTTTTTCCTCTTTCCGTGTAGAGTCCGCTATCAGGTCTGTGTGAAGCAATCTCCGGCTGTTGAGCTAGGGCCTCGCGGGGCGGGCGGGGCGGGAGGGGGCAGGCAACCTGGCGACGGGAGGGGACGCTACGCGCAACGCGACGGTCGGCTGGCTACTTGGGCACACACTCTTCATTTTTGATGACCGTTCCATTCAGGGTCCGCTTTTCTTAACTCACAAATATTTGGCCACAATTAAAGGCATGAACTCGCCGTGTCTGTTGGTGGACCAAGTCCTGCATGAGTACGGGTGCGGGGCCCTGTCCGTCCTGGAAGGACTTCCCCCTCCCCCCCGCTCGAGATCCTCTAAAGTGGATGGCGTACTCAGTGTTTCACGGGAGACTGACCGATGACAAAGGTTTCGAAATCGGCTAGGGCTATGACATGCGGAAAGGGAGTTCCGAGGGTGGCAAATAACGAGTCATAAATTGCTCACTGAGAAATGAAGTTTACTCAAGCAGACACCTCATGTTTACAAATTATGAAACCTGCGGCCCAAAAAAGTTATTATCACATCCTTCAACAGACACGAGGGCAGCTATCTGACTCAGAGCAAATTGGTCTGTACTGTCATGCTTTAAACTACGTATTCACAGCAAAAATGACTATTTCCAAAAGGGAAGACATTTGGTAGGTTATTGATTGAAGTTTCAGTAACTCATATTCTCTTTGACATGTTCTTGATAGTAGGCGTATTAATACACCAGTGACGAGATAGCATGTCTTGGCTTCTTAACCATATATTATTAGCAAAATGTACAGTGCTTTTCAGTCTAGGAGAATAAAGGGGAAGTTCAAAGAGCAACATGTTCATCATACATTTAATACACTTTGCACAGAATAAATAAAGCTACAACAGTACTTTTTATCCGGGAAGGGAGCAACCAAATACACTTGCATATATTCAGGAAAGGAAAGGAAGTTTATGACCACAGATGTCATTTCAAGAACCAAAAGAGACAAAATATAATACAAATAAGTACTCCAACTAATGCACCAGAAGTTTTACTACACTCTGACTATAAGATAGAAAAAAAAAAAGGTTTGCTGGCATTTAGTCCCAGAAGAAGGATAAAGTAGGATGAACTAATTACAGTATATATTTACATGATTCATCACTTTTGGAAGTGATTCAATGTTATGATATACTTCTCGATTTCAATGTTCAATGGTATGGGGGAAACTTTTCATTGTATCACCACCCCTAGACAGGGAGCATAAATATTTAAATTACTATCACAAAGTAACGAAACGCATGATAACAAAAAGATAAGAAGTATTGTATTTTGTATTGATTATGAACATTTTGAAAATAAAAGACTTAACAGCATCCTTAACTGGAATGCATCTCATCCCCAGAAACAATACAAGGATGGGGCTTCAAGATTAATGTATTTTCCTTACCTAGTGACTAAATAGTAAGAGTCAACAAACCCCCCTTCCCAACTAATTCAATCTACATCTGATGACAAATAATATGCCTAAAAGGAATCAAAACCAAGCACTGTATACTTAAAACAAACAATAAAGACATTTTCATAAAATTTCAAACACAATAGAGCAAATTCAAATCTCCCAGAAGGACAAACGAATTCCCTGGTGACTACAGAACAAAAACAGAAACAATAATGCATATTGGGTACCTTGCCTGTTAATTCTGGACTAAAGTCATCAATAAGAGGTGTTCCAATATATTTTGTGCACATTTCCCTTAACAACATGTATTTACAAAACACATTTTTAACAACATATAAGCACACCTTAAACACAAAATAAAACTAAAGAAAACAGACTTATTGACCTCACAAACGTTTTACATGCTTTGGCAGAAACACACCAACTAACTTCTTTTCAGTGAGCGATTTCAGTTTCCAATGTGTTCTATAGGATACCAGAAAATTTTCAGTTCATGAAAAAACAGAGAATGCAACATATTATTGAAAACAGAATTGAATGGAAATGTGCTGGTTTCAAACAGAATTAGCATTAACATTCATAGAATTTGTATGAAATTTCATTTATGAATTGAGAAAGCACCACATTTTACCACACTCCACATTACACAGAGACAAGTACAGACGAGTTCAGAAAATAAGCCGAAACTCCACTGGAATCGAACATTACGAGCATCATCGCTACGCATGTAAAGAACATTCAATTATTATATTTTATTTCTGCAAATAAACTCAAAAACTCAATGTGAACAAAATTACTGTTTGGGTCTAATTTTAACAGATGCAGAAGAAGGAAAACGAAAAAAAGAAAAATTATACCTTAAGTTAAAGGTACAGTACTGTATCTATATATTTACAAAGACAACAATTGTTAAACAAATAAACAAACAAAAATAAACAAAAGAGGGGATCCAAAATATTGGTAAGAGACAGAGAAGAGACCTTACAAGTGTTAATTTTTCTTAACAGAGGCAGAATGACAGGTACCTGAGTTTTGTGAAAAACTTTCTCAATAACACAAGTCAAACAAAGGGAGACTCCCAAAAGAGCAACATTAACCAGTTTTTCAAAATTAAGCACAAAGAGGAAAAAAAGCATAAAATTTCTATAACAATTTTACTTTATACTCAGTCCAAGGGTTCAGGATTTCCTGAAAATTTTTGTAGACGTCGCCTTCTAATTTCATCTTGCTCTCTTGATAGTCCTGTTGCAACTGATGGACTGCTGCTAGTAGCGGTACTGTCTGGTGTACCTTCTGATCTGTAGTTTAGAAACAAAATGGATATATCAGAAGAAAGCAACTTGATAAAAGAAGATGATATTAGCAACATTAATCAGACCTTGGTGAAATTTTGACATCAGTAGATGCTTTTAATTCTTCAGATCTACTGCTACTTGGAACTTCCGAGCTGTGTGTTTTTACATTTGCAGGTGTGTTCCTAAGAGATAAGGTAAAGTTGCTATTAAGAGCTGCTTAAACTTCAAGAGAATGCAGTATCAAGACTACATTTTTGAATAAAAACATTCATTATACCTGTTTGTGCTGCTGCTTGGCTGCGAGGATGGTATAGTTGCGGATGCATTGGAAGAGGAACTGGAGGTGGATGAAGTTGGAGTGGCGGCAGTGGGCGCCGCCGATGCGGTTGGCATTTGGGGCACAAGTGGCACGTGAACCAAATTTGTTGCAGCTGTGGCAGCTGCATTAGAATACTGCTGCATTAGGAGAACAGCTGCATCCAATAATTGCTGGATGTTTTGGAGGCACTGCAACCGTGCTGCAATCCCTTCTCGAGCAGCACATTCCATCCTTTGCAGCTCTTCATCATTTAGATGAGCTAATCCTGGAGGTGGCATAGGTGGTGGTATACCTAAAACACAAAATGTGTTGGTGGCATGTTGAGAACAGCAACAAATTAAATCAATTACTTCATTGATAAAACTTACCAAATGGCGGCGGCATAGGAGTAGGTGGAAAAGGTGGGTAGAAAAAGGGAAGGCCAAAGCCAGGTGGCATAGGAGGAAATGGTGGTGGCATAGCATTAAGTCCTGAAACATTATCATTATTTATTACAGTATTATAACTTTGTTTCCAGAAAATTGAGCATTTAAAAAAAAAAGCAATTTAGAGAAAGATGGTAATTGCAGGGAGCACAAGAAATTACCTGGCTGTGGTCCAGATGCAGACCCTGAGGAGGTAGATGGCTCCTGCTGGGGAGGATGGCCTGGTGGATGGTGTGGCTGGTTGGGTAAAGGATTTGGTGGTTGCAGGTTGAATTGCTGCTGCCAGAATGGGAACATTCCTGGAAAGACGCCATTGACAAACGGATTTTGAAGACCTGCAATAAAACCACGTGAGACATAAGAATAGCAACAAAGCTATGATTTGGGAAGAGCAAAAAGCAAAGTGGGCTTTAGTACCAGGATGAGGAACGGGAGGAACATCTGGTGCATGTGGTGCCTGAGCTTCCGCACCTGCTGCAGGATTAGCAGCAGTGTTACGTTCTCCAGGAATGCGTAAAATATTAAGACGACATGTAGGACATGTCTGCTGACGTTGGAACCATGAGCGTAGGCAAGATGTGTGAAATATATGATTACATGGCAGCTTTTTGGATGCTAAAAAAAGGAAAGAAGCATTAATGAATAAAATAATGACTTTATGTGAATTCATTACACAACTACACATAAAATAAATTACCAGTAAGCATTTCTTCACGGCAAATGATGCACACATTATCTGCAGCAGACAACTCTTCAGGGGTGGCATCGGGATAAAGAGTGTTCATATTTCGAATGGCTCGCCGGGACAAAATTACATCATTAATTGCCTTTCGGAATGACCTACAGTAAGATGGGGCAAGGTGAATTGCATGTGTGGTTTAGATAAATTAATAATAATATAGTAGGTATTACTTGCACTAAGACGCAAAAGACAAAGTTCTTGAACAGACATACCTTAGTGTGTAATACATTGGTCGAAACAAAAACAGGGGCAATGTAAAGATGCGTACCATTATAATAAGGAATGTAAAATAGAGCACAACCTTAAACAAGCCTGAAAAAAAAAAAAGAAGAAAAATCAATCAATCAATCAATCACGCAACCCCTCTCTTTGCAACATCCAGGCATTTATTAATTTATACAATCAGAGCGTTTGCATTTTAACTAGGAGGGTATGAGGAATTGAATCTTGACTTACCCATCACAACTTCAGTGTAGAGCAGAAACACAGCTTTGTTGTCCCAAGGATTTTCTGAATTAAGGTCTATTGTGTGCAAGACATACTTAATTCCGATGTTCACGACAATCATTAGAAGTATCATGTACTCAAATCCAAAAACAATCTGAGCACTGGCTCCTCCAGAAACTGTAGACTCATATGCATGGTTCACAAAATAAAGATCCAGAATACTGAGGACAAACATTAATGCTGCAAATTAAGCAAATGAAAATTAGAAAATTAGAAATTAAATCCATTGTAAGGACTGAAAGAAAAAAGATTTCACTTACAGATAACTCGAAGATGGAATATCCATGATATAATTGGGCTCCTTTCCATCTATAAACAAAGAAAAATATGAGAAATACTATAATCTATTGAGAAGAGTACTTTAATTTTGGAAGATTGGATATAACTCGCATGCAACTTACAAAATCAACACGATCTTCTGCAAGCCAATGGAACGCTTTCAGAAATAGAAGGAGTATGAATTGAGCAACAAATCTTGGAGCAAAGTCGTCCCGGAAGAGGGTAAATGCCAGGCACGTTTCTGTTACAGCGTACCATGAACGGTCAGCCAAATGCTAAAACAAAACAAGTAAATTATCATGAAAAATTGATGCCAAAATATTGCAAAAGTATTTCATCAACATCGGGAAACTCACCTCAAATTCAGCAGCTCGAAGTTGTCCAAAGAAAACCTTTTGCATTAGCTTACCCATTAGAACAACTACAACAAGTGCTTGGATGTATATCACCTGAAAAAAATAAAAAGAAGAAATGTGTGTAGGCAAGAGACGGCATAGCTTTAGCTTAAGAGATAGGACTGAAATCATGAGTCAATCTTCAGACAGTGAAACATGAGAGGAACAGTCACATATTAATAATAATTGACACTTGTAGGAAATGGAAACTAGCACATCTTTAAATTTGTGATTGAGACAAGAAGGAAGGTTATTGAAAATTAACATGGAAGATTGAGCTAAACAGCTGATACTTAGTTCAGATTGAAAAGTCGCAAAGGACCATTGGGATCAGAGGGCGATTAGCCTAGGGGTGAAACGGCAGAGGAAAAATTTTGGACAATATTACTGATGAAAAGAATAAAGGTTACACCTACCGCCATACTGGGGTTAGATTTAGTGATATACACCACCGATGGATAAAACTGTTTCTTGTGATAAAATGCATTTCCTACGACGGCTGAAGTTAATGCCAGGCTAATAAATGTTATGCTAGCCGCCCTCATTATGACGTGAGCGGATCAAAACACTCGGCACCATCCAAACAATCTGTAGCCGTCGTCAGCTCGCCTATGTTTTTGTTGGGGACGGGGACCACGTATATCTGCTGTCATTGGTTAGGTTAGGCGCTCAGCAGCAACGCCCTCTGCCGGATGACTGCAAGCAGAAGGGCGGGCCATTCAAAAGGCTCCCCAGGGTGTTCCCGGGACTTTCAGGCAAATGACACTTTTTTGCCCGTATAGAAAAAAAATCATGATTGATTTTTACATTGGCTTTAATGAATGACATGTATTGGTGTGAAGCCTTGAGGATAATGGGAAAAAAAATGAAACTGAACTTAGAAAAAGGAAAATTTTAATTCAAAGAGCTTAAATTACAAATATAACAGTACTCAAATAAACACAGACACATGTTGAGCAATTGTGCAGATGTGTTTACAAAGAGAAAACTAGTTAAAGGCAACTGTTTTTAAACCACTTCAGAAAAGATATTTCAGCACTTCAAGGAACCCACTCCTACTTTTGCACAACTTTAACAGTTTCAGAGCTTCATGCAAACAAAGCACTTGTAGAATGAACTTCGGAATTTTGCACTATAACGAAGACTAGTATATATACATGCGCACTTTGTCAAATTCAGGTGTTGACCGAATAATACGTCAAATAAATCCTTCTTAAAACTCCGTTTACAAAAGGAAGTTCAAAAGAACAACCCAACAAGTCACAAAGGCATGGAAACAATTTATTGCCTTAGATTGATCATAACAATTTCTACATAATATATATTATTATTGTGCTTTGAATGAACATACCGTACTACTTTCAATACCAACCATTGTGTTTTCTTAAGATAAATATTTCTATCACACTGGATGGTTCACAACCCATCATTCTGGGGTGTACACATGTGTGTACACATTAGCTCACCCACATAAAGAATTAAACCAACACGTGTACATCATAAAAAATTTAATGCTTCAGGAAAAAGTTATTCATAGAGAGGAATGTAGTTTTTAACATAAATGTAACAACTCCTAAAAGATTCATCACATGGTGACATTGATATGGCATGTTTCAGATTTCTGTTCCAAAAGCTTAGTCTATATAGAAGTAAAATTCATAGTATTTTCATCACTTTCACATTTTATTTTTGTACAAGTAATCTTTCAATGTGAACGATGAAAAGTTAAAGTACCGGTTCCTAACAAATGATTGGTTGAGCAACTGTGTCTATGTAAGTAGACAAAATTTCCATGACTGTACATTCCCACATCAGCACAGCAGCTAATTGGATGAGATGAAGACACAGCCATTTATGCATAATAAAGTCCCAAACTGATAGCAACATCACTCTTTAAGAAAATTGGTGCAAATTTGTGGTAGTTGGTGTAATACTAAACTACACTGTGACAAAATTATTTTGGTCACATAACATGAATTAAAACTATTTCGAACTTATAGTCTCAAAATATTTGATCAGTTCAACTGCTTCTAAAATTTCAACACAAATAATTTAAATACAGTGGACACTCATATTATTATAAAACTTTAGTTGAAAAGCCAACCTTACATGTATTCAGTCTTCATTTAAATGGAATCCTAAAAAATAATATTAAAAAACACTGCATGCTATTGAGAAAAAGGTTTGGAAGACATCAGACATTTATTTACTCCTATAAAACAGAACGAGACGATTGTACCCGGTAACAAATGCTGATGTAAAATTTAACAGTACTAAATTCATAAAGTAGTAATACCCCTATAAGGGACAGATACATTTGTGCCTATGCTTGGCTACAATCAACAATACACTAAGTATATAACAATCTCACAATTTGGCGATCACTTATTGGTCCTTGAAAATTACATTACACATTTCATTATTCTTATGGTTTAGAGCATAGGTCCTACCAGGTATATGAAACACCTGGTACTTTGACTTTCGTAACCTGTGTTTGCTTCCAGGAATTCTTTCCACTTTGTAAACATTATGTCTTAAGAGAAAAAAAAGAAAAAAGAAGACGGCAAAGGATTACAAAACTGAGATTATATGGTAGCAAATTAAAAAAAATAAATAGAAAGCATCAGCATAGAACAACACTGTGAATAGGGCACTTACTTGAGAATTGTGTCTGGCTGTTTTAGTTGCATACAAAGAGCCATGCCACTGTAGAAGTCAAGGTTAGATACAAGATTTAACCGAGGCTCTGTTGCTAAATTGAATTCTACTTGACTCTTCACAAATTGGGAATCAACTCGAGTCAGACCAGTCAATGACAAACCGGCACTGTAAGTAAGGAAAATTTGTATTAATCTTTGATCCAAGTGAAAGGAGTAAACTTGATGGTTCTTAACGCCTAATAAAACAACTTACTTTTTTTCCACGGTAGAATGAGCATTCCTGCTCCAAAGACTAAGCTGAACCTCTCCAGCCAGCTCAAATGACATGCCTCCCAAAAGTGTAATGTCAGCAATGAAACCAGTTTGTAGTGGGAGGAGTTCTCGATGATCATGAAGTAATGCTAAGGCCTGGAATGCTGGAGTACGAGTGGATGCAGTGCCAGACCAGACATGGCCCATAAGTTCTCCTTGGCCATTAAAGAAGACAAAGGGTCTGATTTGTGTGCCCAACAAAGCTATTTCCATGCCTGCAGTGGCATCTTCGGTGACCTCAGCTGAAGATGCACCAGCTCCTTCAGAATCTGAAGAGATGAATGATGACAGACCACCAGCAAAAAGACCGAGCTGTAAACAAAAATTTATAGAAATAAATCGATCATGTCTCTAGAGAAATGCTGCCTTTTTTTCTGAGCTTCAATCACACTAAGCCCATTAAAACTTTCATAAAAGCAATTGGATGTCCGTACTTACGGTAAATATACTGCTGCTTTCACCTACGCTTTCCACCGACACATCAACAATGCCTCTTTTCAACAATCCACCAGAAATTTCTTGAATAGATATCAGGCTACCATTGGCACTAGGACTACTTAAAAATGATCGAGTAAAAGCAGTAGTCAATCCTCTCTGTCCCAAAGCATGGTAAGTAAATAATTTAGACTTTTCCTTCAGAAAAATATCACGAAGTTTTGCTCCAAATTCTATATTTCTATAAAGATGTGAAGGTTAATAAATAAAAACTACTAAAATTCATAACTGTAAAAAGATCATTGCACACATACTTGGATGATATTTGACGCAGTCTTTGAAGAAGGTACTGCTTAACTTCATAATTGGGATCTGGTTTGATGAGATACAAGACAACTTCTTCCAGTAATTTCACCGACGGTGCAGCTTCTAATATGATGTCCAGAGATAGAGTCCGGGTACTGCTATCATACCGTCGTCCCAATTGAAGAAAAATGCGTTCACAAGCTTGAATAACCTGAGAGAAGCATAAATTTTCCAAATGTATCAAGTGCATTATTCCTCCAATATAAATGTGAGTTGTAACTTACTTTGGAATCCCAAGCTGCCTTGGGAAGAGCCACCAATGCCTTCATGGCAGCAACTGTTGTTTTACGAGTTCCATTGAGAGCATGGTTCAACAAGAGAGGAACACTGTCGGGGTAGGCCAGGTTGCGGAAGGCTCTAAGATATCGAAGGCGACAAGTTTCATCAACAGAGTCACATCTTGCCAAACCATCACTGAGTGACTTAAACACCTCTTTCCCAAGCTATGAACAAAAAAATTAAAATCAAACAAAAAGAGGATTTATTTGTGTGTGTGTGTTTTCACTTGTACAACTACACTTTATACCTTAGGGTTGCTGTTAGGAAGACGCAGGTAATGTTGAGCCACAGCTGCTACAGATAAAAGAAGCGTCTCAGATAATTTTTCTTCTTCATATTCTTTTTCACTTAGCTGCAAAATATCTGTATTAAAAGAAAGGCAAATATTAAGTGTCAGCCTTGAGAAATTAAGACAGTTGTAATTCGCTAGGATTAATAAATACCAGTTAATATTTCAGCTTTTGGCTGAGCTCCAGCACTCAGAGCCCATAAATATCGTTCTGCTGCATCTAATTCACCTTTACCATCAAGACGAACTGCTTTCTTAATTGCCTCATGAGCAGCAAGTGTTTGCGCAGCACCAGCCAGATCACAAAGTGCAAGCCTAAAAGGGAATTTGACAACAAAAGTATTCACAAATTTAAAAAAAAAAAAAAAATGTTTTAACAGTAACAGATTTACTTACAATATTCCTTTATTGCCTGGATTCTTCAAAACCTTACTAAACTCTTCATAAGACGCTTCTCTAGCAAAAGGAAGCAAACGAACAAGAACTGATGCTGATTTAATGGAGCCTAGGTATTTCTCATCAAGGGCTTCTCTGTTTTCTTTCACCATTTTCTGAAGCTGTGTGGAAACCATAAATATTAGACAACACAAAAAAAACAAGACAAGAGAAGGCAAAATAAAAACCCAACACAAATTTTATCTTACAGTGGGACAAGAATAATCTGAGCATGGTAGACTTTCCCTCTCTAAAATGAGATTTTGTTGGACATAAAGCTGTCCAGAATTTTTCTCTACTATTCTCACAGCAGACTGAACATCATCAGCTTTTATAGGTAAGACCTTCACAGTGTTTTCTGAAAATAAAATTCACAAATTATGCACACTGATGCCTGTCAATTAATTGGTTGCAGTGACCGTTCATGAGAATACCTGTAAGAGTGAGTTGCTGAGTGGCATGTACTTGGCTAGCAGCTTCGGGTCTGACATTGACCGTCATTGTGTGAGTCTCTTCTGTTTCTACAGACTTAAGTGCTGACATGTCTTGAGCTAGAACAATACGTGTTTCTCTTTTGGATGTGACAGTTGATCCAAGAACCTGTGAAACATTGCAAATAAATTATACTACTTTAAATAACTATACAGGTAAATATACATTTCTGTCATTAATTTATTTTGAAGAAACCAAGAAACTGCTTTTAGTTACCTTATCAGTATGCTGTGAATATGGAGTGCCCTGCACAGACTTACAGTCTGTTTTTGTTTTCAAAATTGTGGTAGGATCAATGCTCTTGTACGACACAAAGCAAGCTCCAGAAGAATCGGTTTCATTGGTATCCATATCCAAAAGCTGATACTGCAACAGGGACAAATACATATAAGACCTGTATTTTTTTAAATTTGATACCAGAAATAAAAATACTGAAAGAAGAACAATTTATTTACTTGAAGTAAACTAGAAATACCCTTCTTGAGATTGGAAATTGAGGTTGTTTCATCTTTGGCCAAATACATATGGAGGACTCTTCCATTATTCCAATGGACAAGATATGGTCCATTTTGTAGATTTTCTAATTCAGAGGAGTGAGCAACAAATCCTTCAGGTGCTGGTGCTTTTCTAGATTTAATGTGAAGTTGCGGTTTGGCCACCTAAAAACATTAAACAGTATTTTTATGTTACACGATATCCAATGTGACTAGCGGTGAAATTAAAGTACTTATGATACTTACGTCAATTTGAATTAGTTTGTTGTTTGGATCTGTCTCGCTGGCCCAAACTGTGCCTATGGTCACATCAGCAGTGATTTGGTAGCCAACATCTTTTGCTCGAAGACTTGGTTCGCTGAGCAAAAGGGTGGATGTCAGATGGTAAACAAGACCAACCCCAGGCTCCAATTGTCTAGCAGAACCAGCTGCCGCTGCGGAAGATGAGAGCAAAACAAATCCTGCACCGCACCACCAGCAGCTCCACCAGCACCAGCACCAGCACCACCCTCGCATATTCATCGTTATTGTTCAGGGCTAATTCGCTTTGTTTAAGACAGTCAAAGCATTCTTTGAATGACGGTCTTGATGAGTGGTTGTAGCCCTGCCAATTAATGAGACGGTCTCAGACATGTATCATGTAAACATAACTCAAAAATGGAACAAATCAGGGTAAACTGATAAATATCACTGAATAGAGATAGACCTAAATTATTTCAAGAAGACTGATGCCACAAAATAGTAAGGTCTTGGTCAGCAACTCATAAATCTGTCAATATCTCATATGAATGTTGCCACAAACAAACAGTGGAGTCACCACATCACGTAGGTAGCTATTATCATGAAGCCTTCGTGCGTTTCGTTTCGGCAGACGTATTCGCATTGGCCCACCGCGGCTACGCGGCCCGTGACCGGACCGTATAGCGGTTCCAGAGATCAATGACACTGACACACTACACCGCAGCGCTTAAGCCGCAACGCGTCGTCTGCTAAGTTTAGGCTAGGTCCGTTCAAGTTCTACCGGCAGCACCATCGGCTCCAGAGGGTCTGATGCTAGCGAAAAATCTCCATATCTCTGAGTATCTTTACCGTGTATTCACCCGACAAATTGTATTCCGCTTAGGCCGCAAAAACAACGTTTGTTGTGCTTTCTGTTTCTACGTCCTCCCTTCCCCCTATGTCCCCCCCTCTCTCCTCTCCCCCCTCAATGCCCCCTCCCCCTCTCTTTCCCCCCGCGTCCGACTGCGTGAGAAACACGTGGAAACACGCGCATCCGTGGCCAGTGGCTTCCTGGCCTCCTGGAGGACGGAGGGCCTTCAGAGGACCTGACGGCTGCGCAACGAGCTGGTCAGCACAAATCACACGCATCATGGGCCGTCCCACGCCGAAGGAACTTGGGCACTCGCAGGGGCCTTGGCCGCCTTGGCGCCGCACTTCCGAAGTGCGCTTTGGGACTCTCCTTTGGAGAACGCCCTGGGGCGCGTGGCGGCGTGGCGCGCGTCGTACCTCCCACCAGACTTGAGTAGCACCTGCCGAATTCCTGGCTCCAGAGCGCGTCGGCGTGGCGGCGGGGCGGCGGGGCAGCGCGGCGACGTGTTCGACGTGTCAGTCCAAAGATCTCGACGACGATCTCGACGTGCGGCGCACGGTCAGCCGACTGTACACGGTGCGCTCGGACTGCCTCCACCTCCTCCTTCCTCCTCTCTCGAGCGCTCTCGAGTCGGCAGGGCCGCGCTGCTCCCAGGTCCCCCAGCGGCTCCATTCCGAAGCGAGCCCTCGTCGCGCTCTCTCTCGTACCCGTGGGGAACGCGTAGGGGTGCGAGGTAGACAGCGACGAGGGCGCTCCTCGGAATCGAGCTGCGGCAGGGCGGGGCGGGGCGAGGGGCAGCGGGGGCCAGCACGAAGCGGAGGCTGACCCGAGGGCTGACGTGTCCGTGTCCCGGCCCGGGGTGATCGGACGCAATCGCCCCAACAACAGCAGCGAGTTGAACAGTCTCAGCATTTTGGTGCGGATGCAGTTGCGACGTTACCCCCAACCCTCCGTCCGTGGGGAGGGTGATGTTCACTTTCACAAGCCGAACTCCTTCAGACCGTCTCACCCACCACCGTCAAAATAAGTTACAACGTTCTCATTCCCAACAACTACTACCAAACCGATACCCGGCCACTACACAATAGTTTCTCTCATTTAAGGTTTAAAGTAACAGTCTCCAAAGAGGGCGCCGAAATGGGCTAGTGCTGGTGCTGGGTTAAAATTCAGAATTGTACGATGACACTTCATTACCTGGTGCAGCCTGACAAGATGTACCTGAAATCAGAGAAGGGATCAATCAGCTTCAAAGTAACGTGTGCAGTAAAATCTAGCACGAAGTAGACCTCCGATCCCACCCGATGCGGGGTGCAATGCTTGTGCGTGCCCAATTGCCAGAGCCCTTCGCGCTGACGGTTCCAGCCGTGCGGGTAGGCACCACTTGCACACCTGGGCTCGCCCGGGTGCCTACCCTCGATTCGCCAGGCGCGCGCCGCTGGGGGCCAGTCGGCATGCCTGTCGGCCCGTCAGGCCTGCCTCGTCTAGGCGGTGCGCGGCCGGGCCGGGACAGCCGTGTACAAACAACACCGCCAAGTCACTTCAAGGATTGCCGCGACAAACCAAAGAGAACCACTCGCGTGGCTGTAAGCTTGCTGAAGCTCAACGCCAGCAAGCAGTGCAGTGGTATGAGGCTGTTGGCACTGTTGGCGCGCGTCGTGTTTGTGGAGCACCCCTTCCCCGCGAGGCCCCGCGAGGCCGCGACCAAGATAAGACTGACTGATGCAGCACTGGCCATCCTTGCCGCAATTGTAAACAAATGACAGAGGCACCGCGGATCCCATAAACGATTGAAAACATATTCACAACGGCCCCGTCTATGACAATTCCCGCCAACCGCCTAAAATGGGTCAAGCCATGCAGGGGGTCATTTGGCTTTCATTCCACCTCAAGTACCAGTTGAATGCTAATTTTTCGCACCCTCGGGGACGGAAGAGTGAATTTCTACTTCAAGCTAATTCTGCCGACAATTTAATTGCCGGGAGCCCGGCGCAAAACTGAGTCAAGTCGTCAAGTGTGTGTCTGACTGCAATTGGCGCTATCTGGGCGGCAGTGACTCGCTGAACTCCCGGCGATACAGGGTAGCCGCGTCCGCCGCATCCATCCAGTGCGATTGCCCCCGGGACGGCGTCGGACTCCGGACTGGAGTTGGCGGCGGTGGAGGGCCTCGGCCTGGCCTGCCTCGGCCCGGCCTGCCTCCACGAGGCGGAAGAGGCTGCATGCCATGCAATGCCTGGGCGGCCGGCCGATTTGGCAACCGCCAGTGGCCCGTGCAGCCCGTGATAGTGTCGGTGATAAACGCGCCTTCACGCCGTCGTCCGCGATGCCTGCCCCTGCCATCGCTGACTGGCCAGTGTCAACGCAAAATCCTACCCGGCCCGGCGTGGAAGTTCGTTTCACATTCACACCACCTGGAAAATCTGATGAGGCCGAGGTCGGGCGAACACACTATGCACGCTTCGAGCTCCGATTCCGACCAATGCCCTCAAATGAGCCTCGAACCAAACGCTTGGTCTGAACCACGTGGACTGCCCTGCGAGCGAAACATGAATTGGCACTATCGAGTGCTCGGTTCGAGCTCTACTTGAAGACTTGTGCAAAGCTCAGCGTCTGGCGACGCGCCTTCAGGACCGCTCGGCATGCGGTGCACCGCCTCCACACGTACTCACCGAGAATCACGGACAAGAGCAGGAGCATGGAGCACGACATCTTGACGTTCTCCAGCATGGCCGCGCGGCACCACGCGCTTACTTGGTGGCAGGTTTGGCGCGCTTCGCCTTCTCGACGACCGCGTCAGCGCGTCACACACGCACGCGTCCTGGCGCCGCGACTAGCCGCGACCTCTCCGTCTCGTCGGCGAAGCGGGCGGAGCGCTCCCCTTGTCCCTTGTCGGCACGGCGGCGGCCACCGCATGCACTGGCCGGCCTGGTAGCTACAACTCTAATCTTCCACTTCCGCCCCACCACACCGGCCGGGCCGCGTCAACCCCGCGCCTCCCTGCCTCCCTCGCCCTGGCGCGCCCTGGCGGTCAGCTGTGGGCAGTGCGTGTGAACGCCTCGCCTTGCTTGCCTTGCCTCAATATGACGGACAGATGGGCGAATGAATAAATAGATGGATGTGTGGATGGGGAGGGGCCGCGCCCTATGAACTCGGCCCGCCGCGACCCGCCGGCCGCCGAGCTGCCAGTCTGTCCAGCACACGGCTGCCACGCTGTCCCGCTCACTGATAAGTCGACGAAAGCAAAGGGTGCCCCGGCGCGTTGACCTCGCCCGCCCCCCACCCCACCCCCTCCCCGCGGCTGGGTCGCTGCAAGCGTGCCGCCGAAGCTTCCAACCCCCGAACTCTGCACTTGAGGCGAAGGGCCGAACGGCCGAAGGGGCGCCGAGCGCTTTATTGCGCGGGACTCGGGAATCGGCAAGGGCTTCCACCAGCTCGTCCGCGAGGCGCTCGAGGCTTGGCCGCGGCACTGATAAGGCCCCACTGCGGGCCGAGGCCGCCGAGGCCGTGAGTTCCGAGTGTTCCACGAGGCCCTGACCGCCTCTTTCCTTGTGGCCTCAATCCGTCCGGTCCACTTGACGGACTGCTTGACGCGCTACATCTGCAGCCGCCGCGGCCGCCTCCTGGCGCCGTCGCCGCCAAGTAGTGCGGCCTGTAGAAGAGCTCGCGCGCCCGGACTGCTGGCCGCGATGGCGTCGGCAGGCGCCCCGGGGCCGAGGGTGGGCGCGGGAGCCGCGGGCGGGGTTCTAGGCGGGCCGGGGGCGCGGCGGCAGTAGGCGCGCAGGCACAGCGGGGCATGCTGCAGGTGCACACCGGCGGGCACCGGCAGACGGCACGCTGTGGCTGTCGGGCATGGCGGTGGTGGTGGTGGTGGCGGTGACGACGGTGGCGGCACGACCGCGTCGTTGTGGCCGTGACGTTGGCGTCGTCCTTCGGGCGGTCCTCGGCACGTGGTCGCTCGCTGCCTGCGTGCCGATCAAGGTGCAAACCGGTTCAAACCCGCCAGGGGAAGACAGCTCACCGAATCTGAGGCCGCACACTTACGTCGCGATGCTCTGGGGCCATCCTGGGTTGGTGGCGGCGTTGGTGAGGGTCTCAGGATGGCGTACGGGACGCGGAGGCCGGCCTGGATGCGGTTCCGGAGGACCATGAGCCACTCCAGCAGGCCGGCGCCCGGGCCGCCGAGCGCCATGACGGCGGTCTCGGGCACCTCGGGGGCGCGGTGGGTTGCGGGCCGCAGCGCCTGGCAGCGCCCAACAATACCGCCCCGCCACGACGCCCAGCCCGCGCGGAGCAGCAAGAGGAAAGCCAGCGGCAGTGATGCAGGCCTTCGCGATGGGCGCCCCCGCGGCGGTGGCCTCGGCGACGATGGAGCGGCGGCTGTGTGGCCGCGTCAAGGGCCGCGGCACGCTGGTGCAGCGCGGCGACGACGCCGTGCTCGAGCTGGACCTGTCGGTGCGATACACCGAGAGCGACCCACCTCGTAGAGGCGCGAGACGACCACGGAGCAGCCGCCCGCAGCCGAGGGGGCCGAAGGCTGCAGAGAAGGGGCGGCAAGCAAACCTGGAGCCGGGGGAAGTCCTGCCCTGCCACCCGAGAAGCAGCAGCAGCAGCGAATGCAGTGCCTCAGACTGCAGCTGCTCCGGCAGCGACAGTGGACACGCGCCCTTGCCGCGGTGCCCGTGCTGCGGCTGCCACAGTGACACCGTGCCCAAGGAGTGGCTGGCGCCGAGGCTGGCGCGGTCTGCGAGAGCGAGGGTGGCCACAGTCCGGGAGTCCGCCGCACCTCGGCCTGCCCGCGGCACCCTGGGCACGGGCACCTCAGGCCTTGCCTCAGGCACACGCACCAAGACGAAAGAGGACGAGAATGCGCGGGGGAAGGCCAGACGCCGGCCAGGTGCTGAGTCGTCCACCGAAACCTCCAGGGCTGTTGAAGTGTGCCAAGCTGCCCAAGCCGTGGCGCCGCAGCGCAGCGAGCAACACTGTGCCGTCCACTGCGCCAAGACGGCCTCCCCGCCGTCCAAGTGGGTTCGAGTACGGCGGCGGGCGGCACCATGACGAGTGGCGGGGCTGGGCGGGGCCCGATCCGATTGACCCCTGCTTTCCTTGTCGACAGCGGCACCGGGTTGCCCTTCGCGCTGCCCTTGCCATCCTCACGCCGGCCGGCGCACCGCACCACTTCCACCGAGTCCTCCGACTCTGACGATCCCTCCGGGAGAACAGCGGCGGGTCTTTCCGGGCCGGCCTCGGCGACGGCAACGCCGGATGTCAACAAGACGCGCCGAGGGTCGCGGCCACCGCGGCAGCGCGCGCAGAGCCGGGCGAGGCGGCGTGTCTACCACCTGCGGTGCGAGGCCGAGTGCGAGGTGGTGGACCAGCAGCACCGCAAGGCCCACGCAAGACGACCAGGCCAACACTCAGACTGAGCAACGAGCTCTGCAGCCTGTGGCAACGTGGCAAGGGCTACCAATGCCAACAAATAGGTGGAGAAAAATAAATGACTCGACCGGACCGGGAACTCAGTTCAATGTCGCGTCTGCTTACAGTGTCGTCCCCCCCTCCCTTTTCCTCCCCGACAATGGCACTAGACACGGCGCAGTCTTTTTTCTCACATTGACTCCCTAGTTTCAGTCTAAGCAAGCCATGTCGTCCCGGGCCACGTCATGGAACAGTACGGACACACCATCCAGTCTCCAGTGGAGCTCCTCGCACCTGCAGGTGGGTGCAGATGCGGCGTCAAGCAGAATCGTAGACCCTAGACCTTGCCTCCAAGGCGCGCCATGCTTTCAGAGTAACCGCCACTACACCTCAGCTGCAGACGCGGAGGCTTTCCGGCAGCCGCCCAGCCTGGCCGAGCCGCATGCCTTTCAGTGAGTTCTAAAATTACTAAGTAAATGATGGCGGTGTCCACAAGAGCAGTGATCGTATCGGAGAATGGATGACGTCGGACCCAGGATGCCTCCGATGACTCGCATGCAGACGTTCTCGGCGATGGCGGACTTGGAGCTGGCGAGAATGAACGACACCGAGGCCGAAACAGTTCCAGGCTACCACCCCTTGGGGCCAGCAGACCACCAGCTCAGGGTGCGTGGAGGCGAGGCGCGGGGGCAGGGTTCACTGTGCACACGCCACAAGCCGGTGGAGCGGAGCACTGCGGAGCACACAGCAGGTCGCTGGACAGCACAGCGGGTTGCAGGTGGCGCTCGGCAGGCTGCTGCGCGCCGAGACGACGTTCGACTTCGCCGCCACGGTCAAGGACGTGGACGCGGCGACGCTGGCCGTGCGTCCGGAGGACAGGGAGCGCGTCGCGGCGATGGCGGCCGCGGCCAGCGCACGGCGCCGGGCGTCGCAGCGCGCCGCCGAGCAGCATGCGCACATCGTGGAGGTCATCAGGCAGCCCGTGCCGGCGGCCGAAGAGGCAAGCGCCGTCGGCCAGGTCGCCATGGAGGTCGTCGGGTACGTGGGCGTGACGGGCAAGCGCGAGCCAGAGCACGACCCGCACGAGGGCGCGTCCACGGCGAGCTGGGACTGGGAGTGAGGCATCACCTCAGAGGCAAAGAGAAGCGACGCCACCCTTTAACTTAACTTGCCTTTATTAATATAAAATTGATTTCAAGTAGACAATGTTTTAAATCAAAAAACATTTTTAGTAAAAAAAAAATCCTAGCAAAATTCATATTTGTTAGGGAGTATCACATCTTATTCAAAGGAGCTTCAACAGTCTGTGGCGAAAGTAAGTTTATAATCTGAAAGATAAGATAAATGAGTAACAGAAACTTCAAAAGTAAAACAAACAAGAATTGCATTGCAGGAATGATGCTTACCTTTGAAATATTAATGCACTTTTCATGAGAAATTTTTTTTAAATCATCAATTAGGTGTTCTTGTTTCTTGATTGATAAAATTTTCTGAAATAGCGAAAGATCAATATGAATTTAAGTGTACTAAAAACAACTGAAGAAAAATAGTTTGTAAGTTATGCACACAATACCTCTTGTCGTTCTAGCATCAAGGAATAGTCAACAAAAGGAAGCAGAAGTGCTGCCATATCAGGCATTTGATTTGTCAAGCAATGATCCAAAGCCCCAACAACATCAACATGCTTCAAAACAGGACAGGAGGGAAGCAGAGTTATAGACCGGAGCATGGCCGACTTCTGCTCTTCATCAGGATTTGAGCTGGCTGTAAATCAACATCAAATACGCAGTGATCTATTTTTGTAATGGACTTAGTTTCATGTTTGACAAGTCAGGAGAAAAGCAAATACCATTTCTAAATGGAGAAGTGAGCAGTAGGTTCCATGCCTTGCTGTATGAAGGTACAGTCCATAATTGATACATCTCTGATGTGTGTGACAAGGCCTGCTCTAGTTCCTTCATCTGGAAAAAAGTACCACAAAATCTTTAATACATGTAGGTCAAAGCCAAGAGCATGTAGCAACTAATATTATGTATGATACAAAGGTAAAACATTGGTAGAGCAAACTTGATATTTATTACCATTGACAGATCTACCAGCTGTTGAAAAACAGCATTCCACAGAGACATATTCGTAATGTTAAAATCTATACACAGGTGAACAACCAGAGATATAGCTCGTGGGCTCTGAGTTTGAGTTCTCAAAATCAGGTTGGCCAATTCCTTTTTATCACAAGAGTCAAACCCAGATTCAGAGTATCTGAGGCCAAGAATTTCAAGATCCTTCAAATAAGCCAATGAGTGTAGCTTTTTCCTGGAGGTGAACAAAATATATGTAATCAAGACAAATTTTTGAGAAAGGAAATGAAAAAACTTATTTATTTACTAACCTAATGTCGGACATAGTTCTTCCAGCAAGATATTCCAGGGTCTCATCATCTGTCAACATGCAGAGACACTGCATTGCACGTAATCGCATACCAGTGCATGCTTCTCCTTGGTACACAATACCAATTAGGAAGTACGCCCATTCCTGAACATCACCATGTTCCATAATATAACGGGCTCTGTGTGACAAAATTTAACAGCATCAGGAAAAGTTGTTTTACCCTCTGATAGCATGCAAGTAATAAAAGACATGGTGTGATCCAACCAAACAATACATTTACTTACCGCAATATGTTTTCATCAGTACCATATAGGTCAGAGTTATCATAATCTTTTTTCTTATTACGATTAATGCTTCTATAGCAGTCTTCATCCATTGATGAATTGCAATCCATAAGAACGTCTGGTTGCAACCACTCAGTTACTAGATTTATGTGCAAAGTCTTCAAACAGATGCTATGTAGTCGACATATTTCTTCAACCACAGTATTAATATCTGAAATACAGGAAACAAATAAGGAATTAAGAATTGCAATCAAAAGAATACCTATGTGACAAGAAAAATAAATTTCTTGGACATACCAAGAGAATAGGATGCTGTTCCTCTACACAATTCTAATATTGTTGGATGTTGATACAAAGCTGTGATTAGCTCTGTTGGATTTCGGACAAGCTGAAGATAAGATGGCTGACCCAGCCCATACATGTGAAGGGTTTGCAATGTGGCAAGATGAATATATTTCTTCTCTAATTTTATCTTGTACTCTGTTTCACCAGTCTGATCATAGACACTTTGTGCATACTGAAGACATAAATTTGCCACAGCTACCTGATCCAAACCTGACAACAAAAGAGATTCACTCGTTAATAATTATACTGTAATCAGGTACTGAAACAAAGTTGCACTGAACAACAAATACAAACCAGCAGGAATTTTGCCCATGAAAAAGTAAAGAGTGGCAGCTGCTTGTTCTATATTATCCATGTCAGCTACACAGGCTGCAATGGACTCAAAAATGGCCTCATTCTTCAAAGTCCCACACCACTCCAGACTATTTTGGTGGCCACTAAACTCTTCTGTCACCTGATTTAAAATACAGTTTTGTACATTTATTTTATACATAAATAAAAAGGAAATTTTTTTAGAAACAGTGAAAAATAATATAAAATAATAATTGTAAAATTATAGAGAACTCACACTTTGGTGCACAGCTGAAATACATAACTTGTCCTTCGGTATGTTTAAAGCAGCAGCAACTGTCAGCCATTTTTTGTAGGTATTTAAATTTAATTCATGCCTGACCACTTTTAGAGGGGTATCAGTCAGCTTACGGCTATAAGGCAACCGAAATTCGGACATAGGAGGGAGGCCAAAAGATGATGGAAAGACCTCTGACCAGAACTCCTCCTCCTCTTCATTTGGAGGCCTACAACACAAGTTAATTTGATTCACATGAGTAGAGTAACCAAAGAAAACCAAATTATCACACAGCAATAAAAACTGATCTCACTTAATTCTGCGGTAGTTCTTCAAAAAAGTTGTAGCAAGTCTTTTTTCAGTTTGTTCATCAACACCATGCCGTTCTAATATGTCTAAAATGACAATGAACACCTCATGATGATAGAAATTTACCTGAACATTGGAACATGAGTGAGTCATTTCATTAAAAAATGAACTGATAAAACATTTTCTCAGTGAAAGGAAAATAACATGTACCTTCGGCCAAGAAGAGACTACAGTGGTGCACAAGAGACTTTTGTTTTTGATGTGCTTTTGTATCTCCCAACATTGATCAAGCAACTGTTGATGTGTATTGCGCAGAATAACGTCTGTCAACATACAGAAACACAAAAGTGTTATAAACTGGCACAGATTATTTCCCAACAGTGAGTTGAGGTAATCATCATATAGAGGAAAAGAAAACGTCAGTGTAAACCAACCTTTAGTTCCATCTGGATTCACAGTGACAATGGGTTCTGGGTCCCAAGAGAGCAAAACAGAACAAAGATGTTGCAGAAGAGCTGCCTGCAAGTCAAGCTGATAGTCTGAACAAAGAGCACTTAAAAGATGAGGTGTTGCGTTTTTGGATTCAATGAGTTTCTGAACTACAACTTCGGTGTCAACTTTTGCACGAAGCAATTCTGCAAAACAAGACGAAAGACGAGACGAGATTTAATCAACCTTGTAGGAACAGGTTCGGCCATGAGAGATTGACCGCCTCCTACCATGACCTTGTACATCTATAAGCCTATGAAGAAAGATACCTTTAGCTGGTATGCCAAGTTCAGAGAGACGTAAGCCCCAAGTACTTTGAAGAGACATCAGTTTAAATTGGGAGTGCAATTCAGGCATATTCCATAAGTTACTAACAATAGTTCCTAGGAATGACAACGCCTTTTGCCTCTGAAAGTCCATGTGCGCACTGCAAAGAATTAAGTAAGGTGTCAATTTGAAGAAAACAGTGGGAGGGGTATTGAAGAAAATAGAGTGCATTGCTAAAGTACCTCTTGCTAACATGTAGCAAATATTTTAAAGCTGCTGTTCGACCCATAGAAGCCAGAAGGCTAAGACCTAGATGTTTGTCAAAATGACGTGCCCCAGACACTTTGGACAGCAGCACTTCACAAGACTTATAAAGGGATTCTTCAACAGCAGGGCAAACCTCCTGAAATTGTAATAGGTGCAACAAAGTCACATAAGTAATTAATTGGAGAATACATTACTACAGGTAGGTAAAATGAAACTGAGGAACATACTTGTTTTGACGAAGTTTGAATAGCCCAAAAGAGTTGGCTCAAAATTAAAACCACAGCAAGATCATGCTGATCGTTTCTCAGTTTTGATATTGATTGTGTCACTTCAGAAACAAAATTTTCACCTGAAACTGAATTATACAAATTTAAATGGAGATATTATTATACTAACATGAAAAACAAAAATTACATAAGTGGCATATACCTTCAGGATTAATGATAAAGCTGAAAGCATTGCATAAAAATTCATTTAAGTTACAGCCACTCATAAAACCAGCTAGACCAGGATCTTTATAAAGAGGTGTAAAGCGCCAATGCTGCAATGGATCCCGTTGCCCCAGTAATGAAATTTCTTGCTGTCCAGACACAAAGTCCCAGACCCTGCTCCAACCTAAAACTTTTGATACACCCCGCAAAAGGTCTGAAAAAAAATTTACACATAAGTAAGGATCAGCAATGGAAACAATCAACAGGATACAGCCACATATTAGAATATCTGCCTGTCTTTCATCACACAAGAGTCCTGGGCCTGAACTATATGGTGAAGCAATTTTCATATAGGAACCATGTATGAAGCTCCAGTGTTATTGTTTCTAGAGGCAATAACCAAAATATTTGAAAACCTACTTACCCAAATCACAATGACTGCAAACTTTTGAGACCAGATTGTAAACTTCAGAGGAAGCTTTTTGGATGAGTTCAACATTCCTGTCCTTGCGATCTAAGGATTGCAACTTCTTAAGAAAGAGGGCGGGCAGCCGGCTTAGTCGCTGGATAGTAAAGCTTGACAAATTTTTTAAATCATTGTTAACTCTAAAAACAAAAACAAAGGGAAAAAATTTTTTTTTACAAAAAATTAAAACAAAACAAAAAAAAACAACATAAAACATTTTTTGACTCACCCAACTATAAATGTCGCTAACTCAAAGTCTGATAAATTGATAGCTTGCTCAATTATTTCAGTGAGTGACAGTGCAGGAGATAGGAGCAACAACTGAGCAGCATAGGATGACTTGCGGTATATGCGAGTTGTCCTCTCTTGAGGTTTTTCATTTTCTACAACTAACAGAAAACACAATTTCATCAAAACCTAAGCAGAATGTTAACAAATAAAAAGGGGTAACTTTTGAATAGAAATAAAAGTTAAGTAACTGAAAATAATGAAAACAATTTATAAAATTTACCTTCAATCAATAGATCTTGAACAATATCTTTTAAGGCATTTTCACGACATTGCACATCAGCCATTTCTTTAACAGTCAAGTACTTTCTGAAATCTCTCTGAAAGAGGGAGAACAAGATTGCAGCACATAGGTAAGAAGTAATGAAGACATTGAAAGCAATGAAGACATTGAAGCAGGTTTTTGGTCACATCATAAAACGCAACTTCACTGAATTTACAAACCTTTAGACAGAATCTGTTTTTGATCTCTTTAATAGAAAGAGGTAAATTTCTAGGATCATCTAAGTCCTCAATTTTACTAATCCCAGGCGGATTTGAGGCTCTTGTTGTTTCATGACATATAGCAACAGCAGAAATGAAGTCCAAATCTTCTTCAATAGGACTAACATCAGGTAAGTCCAAAGTCAAAGACACTGTGTGAATGATCTGGGGACACACCTCCACTATCATAGTATCAGGTAGTTTCCTCAGCACTTCAAGCGCTTTAGAAGCATTGCTGCAAAGATGTAACCAAGTCAGGCATGTTCTACTGTTGTGCAGATATTGTTTAATTAAAAAAGAAATACATACCCCAAAAAAAATAATTCTTGAATCACAATAACATAGTCATCTACAGACTTCTGAGACAGCTCTGCTATGTCACTGAACATGTCAGCATGATTTTGCTTTACAATGTTTCTGAGCAACACTTGTCTCTGTAATGAAAGAATTCAACATCTTGCATTAATGATATTTTTTAAAATAAGAAAAGAGAATGCTTTTAAAAAATGATCATACATCAATTTTATTAATATGTATGTTAAACCCATATTTCTTAAGAACGAGATTAGTGCTGATTTGCTTTTGCTTCTCTCGAATCAAAGATGACAAGGGATGCTTCAACTTGAGTCCTTCTTCTGCCACTGCTGATATGACAGAACTCCAAGGGCATGGAGCCGCTTCCAGAGCTGCATTTATACACTCCAAACGAATCTAAACATACCAACAACCATTGTTACACACACAAATTTTCATCAGTGCTGTTCAAACTCAAGGATTTTTACCTTATAATTGGTTATATGCGGTAACAAGGTTGCTATCCTCAATTCCCATGGGGCCTCCTCCCAATACCATTCTCCATTTGAACATTGCAGAACAAGCTGATGCATGAAATCATACAAAGTTGTGGTTGTTATTGTACGCCAGATCACAGTTATGCTATCACCCATAACAATCTGTAATAATTCTGATAGTGTACCTTAACATATGTAGAGACAATTAGATCAATATCAAGTTTATGATTCAGGACAAAGCTCTTTAAATATTGGGTAATAAAAGTAGAAATTAATCCAACATCTATGTTATCAAGAAGAGTTATTGCAACATCTTCTGGAGGCTGGAAAAGACAAACAACAATAGTGAGCTAAATGTAAGTATGCTAAGCAATGTTGAAATCATAGCAAGGGTATGAAAGTACCTGGCTTAAGTCCTCAAGAGTTAAAAAAATATAATATTTAGAACGCAGACAATGTAAATCAGCAAGGCAACAACGAAGTACAACAAGTGGCCTCAGAGGTGAAGCCTCCACACCAAGAAAAGGACTGGCTATCTTTTGAGAGGCCATCAAATTCAACATCCTTTCAGCATAATCCAAACCAATTTTAGGCCATTCTCTTGGATGCGAGTCTTCCAAACCACTGCAATAAAAAAAAATTCAATTGGCATTACATTGATTCAAAAAACAAATAAAAATGGCATTGATGGTTCAAATGAGTTGGGCAAGAAACTCACGAAATCTTTGAGAGCATCCACATGACAACTTTGGGGAGGGATGCAGGCTGAACTTCAAGAAGAGAGGGCAGTAAATGTACTAGCCACTCTAAGATTTTATCCAGAGGAACCCAGGCAGGTATTTCTTCAAGCAGATAAATGACTATATATTCATCAGCGAGGCAGTCCTTGAAAGATGATTTGTGTCTACTCCAAATGATGGAGGCTTTTGACAACTCTCCCTACATCCCATGAAATAAGTCATTACAAGCAGGACAATAAACTCAAACTGATAGCAATTTTCAATTTAAAAACAGACCTGTCTAATCCAGGTTTGAACATCTCTGAGAAGATCAGCACGACTGAACTTCAACCATTCATCCACATCCCAGGTGCATTTGAGCAGATTGAAAGTTTCCAAGCGAAGTATAGAACCACATACACTTGCAGACAGTTTGGAAACTTTTGATTCAAGTTCGGGGTTCTGAAAGCAACACTCATGTGATTCTTTTGTGATGTCTTCATACACAGCAGTGCAATAAGAAGATTTAACATGATAACAAACTTACATTCACAAAAAATTGCTCTAAACGGTTTTGAGCATAATCTAAAAGAGAATGTGCAACAAAGTAATCTGGTGGTACAGCATTTACACAGCAATTGGTAATAAAGTCCAGATCCTACAAAACAGAATTTGGGAGATACAGTTTGTTTATCTACATCATTATAAAATTATCAGATATCAGCCTAAATTTCATAAGCCAGTACCTTTATTTTATCAAGTTCACTTAATAAGGTGCCCATGATGCTTTTATTTTCTTCAGAAGAATAAGGAGAGTTTGTTTTCCAAGGCTGCATTTGATCAAGGAAACACTGAGCTCTAGCCATATGAACAGAGGACATATCCAATCCAAAGTTTTTAGCAAGAGATTCAGCTGCATCGAACTTCTTTCTTGTAAGCAAACGCTCAAGCCTACAAGGCAATAATTGATAAGACGTATAGTACAATAAACAAATAGAAATGTTTAAGAGCAGAAAAAAAGCATGCAGTACCTGAAATTGGGATTAGTTTGAGTTGCTGCCTTCAAAGATACTGTGGCAGCTTGTGAAGCTTTAACAATTCCAAGTTCCAAGAACGGTATGTCCTCAACATTGCACATTGTTTCCATAAGAAAACACCGTTGCCCAACAGAAAGGGAAAATTTTTCTTGCAAACCTGTGTGGAACAAAACATACAAGGATCAATACAGAGCCAATATTATCATAATAGTGTTAAACAAATTTAACATACCTGAAAAGGACAGCATACAAAGGTTACAATTTTCATCACTGGATGGAGTCACAGCAACAATGACAGCCTCAGATGTACTGTCACCAATGAGCTGGAAGTCTAACAGGGACTTGTAGTTCTTCTGTGGAAGTTTTACTGTCATCAGTGTGAAGGGGCACACACATAAAAGCTGACCTGTTGCATCAAGCGCAACAAAAAGTCTGGAAAGAGTATATAGAATAAGTGCAAACTGATGCAAACATAGTACAAATTAAATCTTTGATCAAAAGTGTTCATGGAGTAGAAAAAAAATTCTTTTATCACCTTTTGTCACTTGTGGCTTGCAATTTGATTAAAGTAGTTGTAGATGGGTGGTCCGTCCACTTTACTTCCCCAGAGTCACCAGTGGGTGTCGAGCTCACACCTGTGGAGAGTGTTGCAATGCCCTCACCAACAGCAAGAATTGTAATCTGGTCCCTCAATATCAGACTGGATGCTGAACGTATCTAAAAGAAAACAGATAAAAAATTAACCAAAATGGGCAAACAAAACACTCTGCTATCTTTACAAAAACTTTCACACATGCAAAGTTACTTACAGGGGCAATCGAGCTAATACCACAAAGTGTAGCAATAGAAATGTTTGACCTCAGCTCTTTCATTTCAGATGGATTTCCACTCAAATGCACAGAATGCATCAATTTAAAATCAAAATTCTCAAAACTGAAAATTTAAAATGCCAACAGTAAGGACAAAAACTGAAAAACAAAGACCTAATAGGAAAATGTTAATTACAAAACTTACTTTACAACAATTCCTGATGCACAAACCACTAACACATCTTGTGGACATGATTCGTGGATAATAAATTTCACAAACATTCGTCCTCCTCTGGGCTGGGTTTGAAGCTTTCTGAGGAAAGTTTAAATATAAATTTCTGTAAGTATTCATGTTACAAATTGATCATTCCAAATAGGCAGGATGAAAGCACTTACTTAATGTAAACTGCTTCTCCTTCGGACGGGATATGTAGACAGTGCACGTAGCCATTGTTCAATCCAACCAATAAAAAGTTACCATCCGGAGAACAGGTGAAAGTTTCAATGTCTCCGTCAAAAGCGGAGTTAAAGAGCGATGAGGAGCTCGACTCATTTGCAAAAACGGTCAAGGTGTTGCCCACACAGACGCAGACTCCTCCATTGGAAATATATCCAAAAGTGAGGCTGGATGGAGTATCTGGAACCTGCACATTCATTTGACAAATAGACAAAAGCAATATAACACAGGCCAGAGAAAGATTTTTAAAAAATAAGAGCAAATGATAGAAACCAACATCATTTTCATTTTGAAAGGTGGCAGCCGTCGAGATTTCATAAATGCAACCATCACTTTCGGCGTAGGCCCTGGTACCGAAGTGCAGTGTCTCATCGCCTGGGTCGTAGTCATTGCGAATGTTCCACTCCATAACGGAGGGGGAGTGTAAGTAATAAGCCTTGGACAACTAACACTTGCTTAAGTACTTTCAGGTCACGGCCAGGGCACTTGAAATAAGTTGGGCCAGGAAACCAAACCCAACCAAATCCAAACCAGTTGTTGTTTGTTGTGAGTTTGACTGCGCTTTGGCGCCAAGCGGCTCACAACGTCAGGATAAGAAACTTACGGGGGAGATGTACGGGTCCTACGCACTGTCATTATGCCAAAATTTTCGAAAAATCTGAAGGCTACACAGTAAGAGAATAAGCGATGGTGGCTTTGCTAATGGCAACACATCTTATAGCTGCAAATGGAAGATAAATTTTTGCATGACAATGGAGAGAAATTGTAAGACTCGACTAGGCCTGACTACGACATTAGAGAGATATTTCCCGGACAGAAGGATAAAGACCGTTCCTTAAGATGAAATTATCAAGCTCATATCTATAAATTGTTATGAATTGTCACTAATTAATAGTTCTAAGTATTTTCCCATCTTCATCTTTGGAAATTACACTATTTCACCACTTCATCTCTGCGGGACTTCGTCTTTCGAGAGTTGGTATAAAATGACGATCGGAGCAGACGACAAGTGGACAAGTGACGCAAAATCACCTCATCCCAATACTGGCCTCTGATTGGTTGTTCTCAATGTGGCGTTATTGCGTGCTATGGCGGACAGCGGTATTGTAGGAGGATGGCCTCCTCTCAATGAAGACATGTCTGAAGCGAATGGAGGCAACAGTTTTGCCATGGTTGACGGATTTGGCATCAACGAACTTGGGGGCCTTGATGGTAACCATTGTCATTGTTGTTATGGCTATCTTATAGGTTATGTAAACATTGTTAGACACTGTGACGCACTATGTTTATTCCTTGTTTACCTTGAAAGGACTGCTTTTCTATACTTCTATTTACATCTTGGAACAAGTATTACCTTGGTCCATTCTGATGCCAGGGCTCACGCTCCCATGCTCTAATATTGACATAATGACCTGACTCATTGAGCTGGTGACACTCAGTTTGATGTAAACATTGACTTTTACTTGTAGCCGCACAGTCTCTTCACATTCATACTCGGGCTCTTGAGACCCCACTTACTCCTCTTATTATTTGTGCTAAACTGTGAAGCATGTGTTAACTGAAATTCAATTTGTTTGTGTTTCAGACCTGTTCTCTGACAATGGCCTCCTTTCGGATTTGCCAGACCCTTTTACCATGGAGGATGATGGAACCTTCGACTTTTTGGGCCTTCCTAACAATTTGGCTTACATGCAGCAGCCAGAGCAAATTCAACAGCCAGCATCAACCACATCGCAGTTCTTGATGCATCAGCCGCTTTCCCAGCAGCCTCAACAGCAGCACAGCCCACTGTTGACAGCTCATTCTGTTCCAACACCTGCCCCACCTCAAAGGCCCAATGTCAACATCAACTCTGGTCCAACGCCCAGTCTTTCTGTCCTTCTTCAACAAGGACCTGTGGGCTTCAGCCCTTCACAAGTACTCCAGAACCAGCAGCCTTCTAACAATCCACAACAATTGGCTGTACCATTGCATGCACAGCTCAAACAGTCGCAGCAGCTTGCTCTACCGCCTCAGCAGCTACAGATGAAGAAGCAAATATCCCCCAAACCCACTCAAATCAAGAAACAAGCTGCAATACAGCAGAAACCAGTTGCACCTGCAACATCACAACCAGGACAGATCGTCTTACAAAGTGTTGGACAGCTTCCCAATGGAGACAAAGTTCCCCAGGTATATTAAAAATAGATATTTGAGTTTTAAAAAATGTTAGTCATGTGCAACAGGTTTGTTTTGCTTTAACTAATTTTTATCTGATCCTGTGTTTGTTAAGGTTGTGGTTCAAGCTGCACAGCTCTTAAAAACTGAGCCATTGGTGTCCATACCAGCAACAACACTGATGTATACCACTTCAACATCATCAAGTCCCAACGGAACTCAACAGTGTCAGCCTGTTCACACATTTGTTAATGCCTCTGGTGGAACCATTCTTGCCACTGGTAAATCGAAGTATTTGTTTAGAATATTACTTCATTGCCTTCTGTGGTCAGTTTTTTTTTTTTTTTTTTCTAATAAGTTTTACTTTTTAGGTATTCCACTGGTATTGGATGCTGACAAAGTTGCCATTAACAGATTGCCCTCTGTTTATCCTCAACAATCGTCAAACCAAACTGCTCAACCTAGGGTGAAAGAAGTAAAACGCAGTGCCCACAATGCCATCGAGCGAAGATACAGAACATCCATCAATGATAAGATAATTGAACTGAAAGATATGGTTGTGGGCCCAGATTCAAAGGTACCTATCATTTAAACTACTGTTTATGCCTTATTTTAATTATGATTCTTCATTATGTATGACTCAAATAACTCTTTTTCTCCAGCTGAACAAATCTGCCATTCTCAGAAAAGCAATTGATTACATTCGTTTTCTACAAAATCAAAATAATCGATTGAAGCAAGAAAATCTACAGCTGAAGATGAATGCACCGAAGCAGAACCTTAAGGACCTTCTCACAACAACCATTGTTCCTCCTGGATCATTTACACCTCCTCACTCGGACGTTTCATCGCCGGAACTGTCACCGCCACACTCTCATTCTGATGCATCACTTCCTCCTTCTCCTGATTATTTCCCCAAAAAGAATGAGGTACATCAGTAAAAGACAAATAATCATATTTTTGAAATTATTATCAATATTTTTATTGCATGTACTTATCTGTTATTTTTTTTCAGCTTAAGGAAGAAGATGAAGATGATGATGACGCAATGAGTGGATCAAGTGATAGAAGTCATCGAGGAATGCTTGACACATCTCGTGTAATGCTGTGTATGTTCATGGTGACTGTGGTGGCTTTCAACCCTCTTGGGCTTGCAATTCATGGTGCAAGGTCATTCAGTTCTCAGGAGTCTCATGCTAGAGGCCGAAGCATTCTGTCCAGCCATGATACAGGTTTGTGTTCCATACACATCACATATTAATTTAAAAGATTCCGGTCCCCTCAGATCCCCTTGGATTTTTTCCCGAGTAGGATTAGCAAAACTTAATAATTATTATTGTCAAATATATTAATATTTATTTGAAATTTCTTTTTTTCTATTTCAGATAACTCTGAAGGGTGGTTTGATGGTAGCTGGTTTAGTCCTGGAGCACTCTTGTTATGGATGAGCAATCTGCTTGTGCTGACAGCCTGTCTTATCAAGCTGCTTGCCCTCAGTGACCCTATTATCAGCTCATCCAAAGCGTCTACAGCATTTTGGCGCCACAGGAAGCAAGCAGAGTTCAACCTTATTAAGGTAAATGGAAATTTCAGAATACATATTTCATTTGCAAACAGCCGAAAAAGTTTTGTATGTTCAGTTTTGTTAACTCAGCTAACTTTTTTCAGGGTGAGAACATTTCTGCTCAACAAGAGTTACGCCGCGGTCTCCAGGCTTTAGGCCGTCCTCTCCCGGCATCACGAATTGAACAATGGAGCTGTGTGGCTTGGCAAATAATACGCCAATGTTTGCATCGCTTATGGATTGGCCAGTGGCTTTCTCGAAATGGACCTACAATTTTCTCTAGAAATGGGCAGAGAGTATCTGCTCAAAGCGCCCGGGAACTGGCTTTGGTGTATCATCGGCTGCATCAGCTCCACCTTGTGTCCGATGGTGTGAATGCTTTGGACGACGGAGGGCCCGTGGGCACGGGCAAAGTGGCTGGGCTGGCTTTGGCGCTGAGTGCTGTCAACCTGGGAGAGGCTGCTGGTCAGGCCCTCTCCCACCACCAACTGGCTGACATGTACGTGGCCTATGCCCTTCGACTCAAGACCATCCTGGCACCTTCATTTCAGTCCTTGTGCAGGTATTTGAAGCTCTGTTCTCTTCAAGCTAGTTGCCAACTTTTTATGAATCCTCTACGACCCCCATCTTGCCGTTTGTTACAGGGGCTACCTGTCCTTGGCGCGCAGCCACGTCCTGAGAGCGACCGATCCAGTCCCAGCTCGCCTGCAGTGGCTGCTAACGCCTTACGGTTGCCGCTTCTTGGTCAGCCAGCAGTGGAGCTACAACCCCGCCAGGTCCTCGCCATTCAGCATGTTGGGCTCCGCCGGCGACCCCCTCGCCTACGTCATGAGGGTATGCTTCGGTCGAACCGTCCCTGACGTCACTCAGCATGCACCACTCGCCGACTCGTGCTCACCGCTCGCCTTTGCCTCTGTCTTTGTCGCTCTTGCAGGAGTACCGCGAGCACTTGCTGGAGAGGGCCCTGCACACGCTGGTGCTGCCCGGCGGCCGCCTCGACGCTGGCGGCACTCCGAGCTCCAGCACGGAGGAGGAGCCCGCCCGGCGCGCCCAGACCCCCGACGCCCTCACCTTCATCCAGTTGCTGCTCGAGAACTCCACGGACATGGTGGACGGCGACACGGCAGCGGCCGCGGCCGCGGCGCTCCCGACCCGGAGCCAGCTGCAGGTTCCCAGTGAGTGATAGGATAAATTTAGCTGCTGCCGCCTCTCGCTCGCCGGAGCTGCTTTGTCAGGGGTTGCCCATTTACGCCGTGTTCCACGGTGTTCCAGGTTGCGAGGACGAGTTGGCGCGCTGGTGGGCCTCCGTGGTGGGCGTGGCCGCGTACTGGCTCCTCGGGGAGGACACGCACGCCGAGAGGCTGTTCGCGCGCGTCGAGCTGCTCCCCGACGAGCTGGCGACGCAGCCCGACCCCGTGGCCAGGGCCGTGCAGATGGCCTTCCGCGCCCGGAGGACGGTGGCGGCGGTGGTGCGGGGCCACCTGAGCCCGGCCTCGGGCGCCTCCCGCGAGGCGCTGCGCCTCTGCGACGCGGCCGGCCGCTTCCTGGAGGACAGCCTGGCCTACTGGAGCTGCAAGCAACCCAACGACCTGGTGCTGGTGCGTAAACGGTTCCCTAAACTTAGGAAACTCCCTTTCTGTCTAGTTTGTTCTAAGATTATTTGTTTTAGAAAAACTGCGCAATTGGCCGCGAAGGTTTTCAAGTTCTGCTATAATCTTATCTTATCTGTTTCTAGCTTGTGCAGTTGGTGGCTCTGGATTGGCTGTTGGAGACTCGCACTGTTTTGTGGGAACAGGAGAGCTCTGATTCAATGACCTCGTTGCCCAATGGCGACCTCGCTCCAGTGCCAGTCAGTCCGTGTGTTCTTGCTGGCTTCCAGAGGGATGTGTGCAGCCTTAGACGTCTTGCTCAGCAGTTGCCTGTAAGCAGCGTTTTATTCATTCATCGTAAAATGTTCAGAAAAACTTTTGAAAAACCCTAGAAACTGGTGTCTTTTTTCTCCTTTTTCAGGCTGCTGTGCCGAGGGTGTTTGTGTCTGAAGCCACAGCTCGGTTGATGGCTGGGGCGTCTCCAGGACGCACGCAGCAGCTACTGGACCGCAGTCTGAGGCACAGGACTCAGCGAGCCACTCCTATTTGTGGAAAAGGTATGCAGACAGCAAACTAACACTAAAACGTAAGAAATAATGTATTTATTGAATTTACTTGATTGCCAATTTTGCCTGTTGCAGACCGAGACCGGCACGCGGGTGGGGACCGGGAGCACGCCGCGGCGCTGTTCTTGGCGTGCCGGCACCTGCCCGCGCCGCTGCTGTCCACCCCTGGAGAGCGGGCCGGCATGCTCGCCGAGGCGGCCAAGACCCTGGAGCGCATCGGCGACAAGAAGCGCCTGGAGGAGTGCTACCAGCTCATGAAGTCCCTCACCTCCACCGTCAACGCGGCCTGAGTTCCGTCACAACTTCAGCTTTTGTTGTTTGGAAAAGAAAGAAAAAGACAAATGCACAAAAAGAATTCTGTCTCGTCCATGGCTTTAGTGTAGTTTTTTTAAGGGTTGGCAATGTGTGTATGAGTAAGTTTGTATATATGTCTATGTGTGCGTGATGTTGATTGTATGGCTTTTTATGCCTTTCTAGTTTATTTTCTCTCTATTAACTGAAAGCTGTTTTTTTTTTATAATTTGAAAAGTCTTTCAATCATGCATATGTATCATTCCGTGTTTAGCCATATAGTTAGCTAAACACAGATTTAAAATTGCTTTTTTTGTTTGAATTTTTGGTTTTGTTTGTAGAGATGTTAATTAAATGTGCAAATGTTGTAATAGTTGGAAGTCTACCTAGTTTTAGCTGTACCTTTATTATTGTTGTAAGTAAAATTTTGTGTCATTTTTGTACATAAGTATGTCATACAGACTGCAGCCAATGTGATGTCATTAGACTGGTTAGACCAATCAAAAGTAACGTTCTTCTGTTTTAATTAAGAAAAAAAGTATTCGTCAAAACTGTTAATGTTGGTGGCTTGACTTAATTGCATCAAACAACTTTTTTCTTGTTTTTTTTTTTGTGTGTGTAATTTTTAAATATGACATCATTTTTAATCTTGAAGAAGATTTCACTTTGAACAAATCAGTTGCATTTACATTCTTACAGCCAGCATCCCATTAGAAAAAAAATTGTTGCCTGTATTTTTTTTCTGTTTTAGCTTTGCTCTTCTTATATGTAAATTTTACATAATTCTCATGTTTAAATGTTACTCATTCAACTCATATTTATTTTCTCTCAGTGAGGGAGGTGTCTATTAAAATGTTCGTAACATTTACTTTTCCTGTATTTTATTTTGTGTGTATTCCGGTTTTCTATACCTGAAGTTAAACAAGAGCACAGACCCTATAGGGTTAGGTTGAACAGTGACTTGCGAGCGAGTGGTTGGGTGTTGAGGAAAGTATTCAGACATTAACATTAATTACTATGTTGTTAAAGGCACATAACGCCAAAAAATTGAACTCCAAAGTGTCCACATGATGGACACCTTGATTCGACTGCTCGGAAAACATGAATGAAAAGTGGAACAGTTCACATCATCACATTGAAGCTTCTACTGAACTTTCAATGAGGCGCTCTTCTTCAGATGTTTCTGCTAAAGGCCTACCCCATGACCCGGCCAAAGCTATTTTCATGTGTGACGTCAGAGGTGGGATGTAGTTCCTCGGTATTAAGAAAGTTGATAAGTTGAATAGGTCCAAGAACACCTTGTAGCGATCGCTGAAAGAACAACAGAGCTAGTCATTGATAAGACGCGTTTTAAAAGATACAAGTAGCATGTTTCCAATATTCACCTGAGTGTCGACCGGAGGTACTGGTATCCAGAAGAACCACCTGTCCCGAGTTGTGCAGACCCTATCATCCTCTGTACCATGATTACATGGTTATCTGCAGGCGAAACAAAACAACAAATGCAGTGGCAAGTTGAACCGCATCGCTACAGGCAGCGTCGGCGGTCGGCGCCGTCGGCCCCACTTACAGCGCCACTTGGTGATGAGGGAGTCGATGTCCATGAGCAGCGTGAGCAGCTGGTGCGGCTGGCTGAAGCGCGGCTCGTCCCTGTAGAACGTGATCATGATGGCGCCCTGCAGCGCGCGGTACGAGAAGCGGCGCTCGCCGCGCTGCAGCAGCAGCTCGTGGGTCTCGGGGGAGAAGACGCTGTCGAAGACCTCTCGCCGCTGCGCCACGTCGTGCAGGAGGAACTTGCGGCGGATGTCGGTGTCCGCGTCCATGGCGGCCTTCTCCTGCTTCTCCAGCATCCGGTCCACGGCCTGCCGGTACTTCCCCCAGAAGTCGAAGCCCTCCGCCTCCAGCCCCGGCGTGCGCTCCAGCCACCGCTGCACCAGCTGCGCCAGGCTGGGCTCCTGCTCGGACCGGCTGATGGCGTCCGCGGCCGTGGGGTCGTCGCCGAACACGGCGCTGTAGCGCTGGTTGAAGCGCACGCGCTGCTCCTGGGGGCGGAGGGACGGGACGGGACGGCGTCATTGTCAGGGATCCGCTTTTGCTTTACTATCAGAATACTCCCGCGACTCGCGGCGACGCCTCACCTGCTTCATGCCGAGCTTGTTCTCCAGCAGCCGGAACTGGAGACTCTGGAAGCCGGAAGCAGGGCACAGGTAATTCCGGAAGTCCATGAAGTCGAGGGGGGTCATCGTTTCCAGGATCATGACCTGGTCCACCAGGAGCTGCAACATGAAGCAGAGATTCGACTTGCCGCCTGAGGCGCTCACCAGGTTCCGTCTAGTCGTCAAGGTTGTGCCATTTTTGTGACGAACGCACTTTGAGGATGAGGACGATCCTGTGCAGCCGTTTGAGGATCTCCAGCGTCTGGCTCTCGTCTAGGCCCTGGAACAGGAAGCTGCCCGTGAACCCCATGGAGGTCGTACCGTCGCACTCACACACCCCCACTCACAAACACGCGGGAGATGCGTACCTCGCTGCTGTTGAAGAGCGCCCGCACCGAGTCGAGCTCGTGAATGATTTGTTTGAACCACAGTTCGTAAGCTGCGAAGGACATGACGAGAATTAGGTGCAGACGGAGCCGAATTATTTAAAATTATCAGAAAAAAAGCATAATACACGGTTAATAATAAGAGTTTGTTGGCCGCTCACCCTGGTGTGTGACGATGAAAAGGTGCTCGTCGTGCACCGGGTTGCTGCTCTGTTGCGACAGCATGCGCTGGGCGCTCAGCACCTTGTCCAGCATCAGGTACTCGCCGTACATCATGCCCTCCTCGCCCAGCTGCTGCTCCCCGTCCTGGGCATCCCTGCGAGCCAATCACAAGGTGAGGGCGGCTTCAAGTTCGGGCGACGGGCTGCAGAGTAAACATCGGCTCCACAGGGCGCCCCTGACTGGCCATACTGTGAGTGGGGGCTTGTAGTCGCTTGAGGCTCTTCCCCGCCGGGATAAAGTGTCACCTTAGTAAGGACGGCCATGTCTCGTTTTGCAGTGCAGGCGGGCATGTGTCGGGCCCGAAATGGTAATGGTAATGGTGGGTAGGCAACCCTTCGTACCCGCTGCCGCTGCCGCCCCGCTTCTCCGAGCGAGGGAGAAAATCGAGGCCCCCTCCTCTCAGTGGGTAAGTGGGTAGGCCGCCGGCAATACAATGGCCCCTCCCGACTCTCGTCATGTCATGCCTGATTGCGCCCCTGTCTTGTCCCACGCCCTTGTGCGAAGCGCACATCCAGCAAACAACAAAACGCCTGACAAGAGTCTTGATTGGTCCGACAAGGGGCTCGCCGCGCCTTATCACGAAACAAGAAAAAGGGGGGAGGGGCGCTCGCACGGCGATGATGCAAATCTATCGCTTTTGTTTACCCAATGTTATGAGAGGCTTGATGACGGAGCTCTCGTGGTGGAGGAGCCACAAGGACAGGGGCCCGCGCACACACGCACACACGCACGGCCCGGTGCACGCGCACAGCCCCCTGCCGGGAAGCACAAGAAATGTCGGGGCGGTGGGCGTGGCGACGCCGTGGCGACGCCGTGGCGTGGGGGGCCTCGCCGCCAGTGCCGCCGCACAGCTGCCGCTGCCGCCGTACAGCCAAAATTCGTGCCAAACCTCGCCGGCGGAACCTGCTTTGGGCTTTGGCCCCAGAGAGTGCTTAAAGGGCCGTCGAACACATCGTTGGATTTTCAACTTTCAATCAAGAATGGCTAGTCTACAGTGGAAAGGCGCTATGGCCTGCCTGGCACTCTCCAGCCCAAGCTGCGGTCTCTGACGAAGGCCGAGCTCGGACAGAACAGAAAAGGGCCAGGTGATGCTATTTGGGCACAGTCGCAAAGTCGAAGTGTCGCGACAAAAGTAGAAAGAATGGCACAATATTCTGTCATACACACTGTCCGCCGGTGCTTCATTCAACTTCATTATTTTTGGAGCAGACTAAGTGCACAAAGCCTTTGAAACTTCCGGTTATGACTGGCATCAACAAGAGTTTTCACTTTTATTATCCTGGACTTAACGATGCTCCTGTGGCTCCCCAAGAATCAGTAAGGTGTGCGCTTACCTTTTGCTTCCGCTGTATATACACGCCATGGTCGCTAGATCCTCAGTCAGTCTCGCGCGACGCTTCCTTCCCGACGGCCCGGCCCACACTGATAGCTTCGCATGCTTCGCATCCCGCTGTGGCCTGTGGCCGAGCCTTTCCGAGCCTTTGGCCGAGCCTGTGGCCGAGCCCGTCCCGCCCGTCGCCCAGGTCTTGCCTTGCCGCCGGCACTGTGCACTGGGCGCACCGCCCGCCCGCCCGCTAGAGGCCGTAGAGGCTCTGGTCCCACCACACCACCACCCCCGCCGCCCCTCGTCCCGGCCGCTCCGTCTACGCGTCTCCAGGCACGCCCACACCGTCACCACCCAGGCCGCATCAAGTGTGATGTTTGCATCACCGCGTTGCACACTTCGTACACCGCGTTCATTTAATCGCGGGTCAACGACCGTGGTGAATCTGGGCCGGTTCCTGGTCATTGTCGCTCTGCCCCAATCACTCCCCAGATCCACCCCTAACACGGACCTCACCAAAAATCACCACTCGCCCAAAATTACAACAACGCATAAAAGGCTTCTCGCAAATCTCGGGCTTATTTGGGTCCGCCTTGACTCAGCCGTCCCGGGTGGCGTGACACAGCGCAGAGCCTGTGCGGCCTGTGCGGCCTGTGCGGCCTGTGCTGTCCGCGGGGATCGCATTGCACCGGGTAGGGCGGAGGGCGGCAGGGCGGCAGGGCGGCAGGGCTGGCCGCACGCCACCGTCATTCCATTAAGACGGGTATTCGCACCTCGCCGTCTGCCATGCCCCCCGCCGCCCACGCCGCCCCCGCCGCCCCCGCCGCCCCCGCCGCCCGCGCCGCCCCCGCCGGGCGTATAACAGCTTATATGACTCCGCTGTCAACCATGAGTTGTTTTGCCGAGTGGTGAGGGGGCGGGGGCAGGGGGCTGAGGCGGTAATCTGGAGGGAACCACAATGTGACGCTTGAAGCTCTGTCAATACGCATAGCAAAACCGGTCCAGCCCGTAATGGTAATGGTAATGGAAGGTAGGCAGGCCGAGGCGCAGCGATGCAGCGCTGTTCGGCGGGACTGCCTATCTGCCGGACCGACAGGGGCTCGAGCGGCTGGGGCTCTCCTCTGCGGCTCTGGACGTGCCACCCGACTGCGGACTGATTTCGAAAAACATCACTCCGGTCGCTGTGTCTCCCTCGCACTCGTGGGCCATGACGGCGCGTTCCGCATTGGGGCGAGAGAGACAGAGGCTGTACGCGGAGGTCTCTGCTGAGCAGCACTAGCGGGCTGTGCTGCCAAAGCCGAGAGGCGCGTTCTCACCTTCGCCAAAGTGACAAGACTCGCATACGATGCAGCATTGCAGCGCGTGCCCCGTGGCACCTCGTGGCCGGTTGCGTAAGTGCGTGTCGGGTATCTAGAGCAGGCTGGAAAGGGGAGGGGGGCCACAAGGGGGGCCAGGCCACAAGGGGGGCCAGGCCCTGCGGCTGAGGCCCGGGCTGAGGTCATAGTAGTCTACTTGGTGCACTTCATTTTCCGTTTTTCGAGCGACACTCCAATGGCCGTGTGCCGTGGCGGCGTGCCGTACTGTGACGTACGTATTGTTGGCGCCCGGCGCGGGGTTTGCTTTTGACGAGTGCCGCTGACGCACTGCGAAATCCCGGCGCCGCGTTCTGCCGGAAAGGAGAGCACGCGGCGCGTCGGCCGCGACACGATGCCGGCGCGTGAGCAGGCAGGCTGGCGGCCAGGATGACGGGGACGCGGTCCATGTTGCGTCAGGCTGCCTGAGGCTGCCCGAGGCTGCCTGAGGCAGCCGCAAGGGGGTATTCACTCCTAAAAGTGGTCGACATACTAATACCTTTTGAAAAGTATTACATGAATTACATCCTATTACAGCTAATCTGTCAATTACGTGTATTACCTCACTATTACGGCTATTACAGACCTATTACAATACTATTACAGCAATTACAGACGATTACATCGAATACAAACGACGATTACAGACCTATTTGAGTGCTATGAAAGCAATTACTGACTATTACATCAAATACAGTCATTACATAAATTACACAGTATTACACACCAATTACAGCTATTACACAACAATTACAGCTAATACATAACAATTACAGCTATTTCATAACAATTACCGTCACAACAACGCCCTTTTCTGACATTTTAAACGATTTATGTATTACTATTACCACCTATTACACATCAATTACACTCCTATTACACCTATTACGGGGCCATTACAGGTAATACACCATATTACAGCAATTACACAGATATTACCTATTACAGCAACTATTACAGGGCTATTACATACCCTTCGACCGACTAATACCTGAGTGAATACCCCCCTTGGGCAGCCGCAGGGCGCGGCGGCGTGGCGGCGCGGCGCACCCCCTGCCACTGGCGGCGGTGCGACTGCCCCTTAATTTCGCAGGCACCCTAGCTGTGAAGGGAGCAATTATCCTTCAAGAAACACAGAGGGCACAAATCATCTTCTGGCCTCAAAAGTGCTGGTTTAACGGATTTCAATTGCGGTGTCCGCCAGTCGGATTATCTGGAATCCACCCCCGCTCAAGGGGGGGGGAGGACAATCCCCCCCCCCCCCTACCTCTAGATAGCCGCCTGAAAGGTAGGCAGAAAGCACCACTGCCCCTGTAAGTAGGCAAAAAGTGCCCCCCCCCCCTGGACCGACTCTGGATCCGCCACTGCCCTCGCTCCGTGCTACGGACAGATGTGCCTTCGAAGTGCCGTTAGTTCCCCTCGCTAGACGCCTCGCATCCCTTATCGGGTCTAGTGCGTACGGCGTATTTACGGTGGCGTGAATGGGCCGCGAGGGCCGCGAGGGCCGCGGGCGCCACGCCGCCGCCGCATGCCCGCCGAGGGGGCTCGCCCGGTCGCTCCGTCTCCCTCACTCTCCTGGGGGAGGTCCCATGAGTGTGAGAGGGACAGAGACAGGGCCTGCGCAGGGCTGCGGCCATCATCGCTTATCGCGCGCGCGCCGCGTGGCTGGTCTGCGTGGCTGGCCGCGGGACGACGGCGAGACGAGCCCCCGCCGCGGATTTCTAGACGCTTTATCAAGCCAGTGGGTCGGCGGGGGCGTGGCGGGTCAGGCGACAACAGATCGGGAAGCTGGTCGGGAAGGCGAGGCTGGGCAAGGCGGCGTCAAGCTGCCACTCCCCCAGGGTAACACAACCTCGTGACGCACGTGTGAGTGAGTGAGAGCGTGAGTATGAGTATGAGTATGAGCTCGGCAGTGTGTCTGTGTCTGCGCGACGGACAATGTCACGGCCGCCACGGGATTGACAGGAGTGGCGGTTCTCTGCGACGATAATAAATCAAATAGCGAAAGATAAAAAGTCTAGTATTTATTTTATTTCTAAGAAATGGCGTTAAAGTTAGTTGCTAGAACAATGAACTCCTTAACGGGACGCAAAGGAGACATTTCACTAATGAAACAAAATACTGATCAAAGATGTACAGTATCATAGCAGAGAACATGATGAAAAACACGAGTTGAAAACAAAACAAAACTTACGACTAAATGGAATTATGATGCTACACGACGATTCTACAGAATGGAAGTGACGTCCTTAGAAATAAATAACAGTGGTGTTGGGTTTCCTAAGGCACGGAGACTCCCACGAAATGATGCAGACTTGAGATCAAAATGCACTGAGCGACCTTGGCGAGGATGGCATGGTCTTTACTCTTACAAAATGTGTAAGGCAGTGTTTGGCACCGGGAAGGATAGGGTGCATTATTTGTGGTAACGGATAGCTTCCTTCGGACGAGGAAAGGGAAGGCAAACTTATTTGGTAATACAAGGAAAAGAACTACTCTAGTAGCTCCGATGCGAAGTCTTTCGGTTTGTGTAGCGACTAATTTTGATTGGATTTTGGGATATTTTTACGGCTATTTCGATTCCTCTCTCGCAATTTACAGCGCGTTCACACTGTTTCGTACTAATTTTTACTCGCGGGTGTAGGACCTATTTTCGCAAGTGAATTTCCCCACGCCCTGCAACTATCGGAACAAAACTTTTCAAAATTTTACCATGTTTTAAAAATTTGTTCAATTTTTTTTAACTTTTCATGGCAAAAATAAAGTGTAACGGGGTCTTCCGACGAATGGCAATGTCCTGCGACTCCGAGGCTCGAGTCACCGAAATCTTCTGTTCTGCCGTTCCGCGGCTCCGCAGCAGCAGTCAGTCCCTCGGCGGCGTGCACCCGGGCAGGGGCATGCCGTGCGGCGTGCCGTGGGAGGGCGCCGAGGCCGCGCCGGCGCCGAACTTGCTGAGCTCGTGCTTGATGGCGGCGATGAGCGGCACGGCGGGGTCGTGCGGGGGCAGGCGCGAGTCGGCCAGGATGACGGCGGCGTCGATCCTGGGCGTGATGCTGCCCATGGGCGAGGTGGCGAGCGCGTCGGGCAGCTGCGGCCGGTGGAAGGGCCCCGCCGACAGGGGCCGCGCCACGGCCTGGTCCGAGCCCCACGCGCCGCGCGGCCCGCTGCCGCCTCTGCCGCCCGCCGAGCCGTTGGAGCCGTTGGCCGACGCCGTGGACGGCCGCCGCGCGTCCGTGACGGACGTCTTGGGCCGCGGGGCCACGTCGCCGACGGGGGCGCCCACGGGCCTGCAACACAGTGGCACAGTGGGGTGAGGTAGGCCACCCAGCCTGCAGCAGGCCATCGTCACAGGCGCTTCAGTGTTGCCACCACGACACATCAGTGCCGAAAGGGTCAGCATTACCATTAGAGGCTAGACCACACATGATCGTAATGCCATTTCGGACCCGACACATGCCCGCCTGCACAGGAAAACGAGACCCGCCCAATGTGCCTGCAGCTTCTCGAGAGCAAAGCCCTCTGCTACACTGCGCTATTCAGTGTAGTTTCTGCACATCTTGCCACTTTGTTGAACCACACAGGGCGTTCAGTTTCTACACACCTGAGGTACTACGTGGCAACACTCTTGCGCAGGCGGCAAGACGACCCACTGTCATTGCCTACCGTTCGACAGCCGACTGCACGCGGTGGTCCGGGGGCGGCGCGGGGAGCACGTGGTCCAGCACGCTGCTCAGCTGCAGCCCCGCCACCGGCGGCCCAGGGGGCGGACCCGGCGGCGGCGATGACGAGGTGGAGTCGTCGTCGTCCTGGGAGCCCTGCGACGCGGACCTGGAGACGGAGCGCGAGCCGGCGAACAGGCTGAAGGCGTCGTCCAGCAGCTCGTGGAAGCGGCGGCGCATGCGGCCCACCTGCGGCGGCGAGACGGGCGAGGCCGCGCCGTCGGACAGCGTGGTGGTGCCCGTGCCGCTCGCGTCGCTGGCGCCCCCTGCAACGGACGAGCGGACGCGTCAGTACCTCCCCCTCCAGTCACCGAGGGCGCCTCTCGGCCGGTCTCGGTGACGCCGTGGGCGAGGTGGATGCCAAGAAAGTTGCCCCCGTGACACCCCTGGGGACGTCGAAAGCGAAGTCGCACCTGCCGACGTGATCCGCTGGCAGCGCAGACCCCACACCACGGGCCCCAGCACCCCCGGGTCGCCCTCCAGCGACGAGTGCCTCACGCCGCGGTGGGGCTCGCGGGCAGGCTCGCAGGGCGTGGCGGGGCCGCGGGCTGCCCGTGGGACGTCCTCCGGGCGGCAAAGGGCGGTGGAGGTGGCCGTCCTGGGCAGCGCGGTGGACGGCGGCGCGCGGACCGGCGCCGTGGTGGCCTGTCGCGGGGGTGGCGGCTGCACGATGGGCCGCGGGTGGCCGTGGCCCTGCCCGTGGCCCTGGGCCTGCCCGGGGGAGGGGCTGACGGCAACGCGCTCCATGGACTCGTCGCCGTCCAGGTTGCTCACGCACACCGGCTCCAGGACCCTCGTCAGCGGCTCCGGCAGAGCCACGCCCCTGCAGACAAAGCTTGTGCAGTCGGTACTAGCCTAAGACCATTGGGTCATTTCGTCTGGCTAAAACATGCTTACCGCGGAAACTGCTTGACCGAGGGCATGGAGAGGTACGAGTTGGGGCTCGCCCGCCTTGGGCCTGCCGGCGAGGTGCCGGTGTCCAGCACGTCGAGCGCGTCCTGATGTACCTGCACCGCCTTGAAGCCACTCGGCGCCGGCCTGGACGGGCCCGCCGCAACCGCGCCGCGCGGGTGCGGCACCACCACGTCATCCTCGGTGAGATGGAGGGCGTCCACGAGTGCCGGGTTGACGGCGTGGTGCAGCGCGTGGTGAGCGTGAAGGTGGGGATGGTGCTGGCCGCGCCGCCGGACCAGGGCAGCGTCGGACAGAGACCCCGAGCACGAGGAAGCACACGAGAAAGAGCTCCGCGAGCCGCTCGCGCTGCCACTGCCGCTGCTGACGCCGTGGCCGCCTCGGTCCGCCCCCGCAACGCCCAGGAACCCCGGTGACGACTTGTCCCTCTGCGAGCGAAGAGCAAGACCATGAGGGTGAGGGTGAGGCTTGGGTTGGCGGCTGTCCCGGGCTGTCCCGGGCTGTCCTCACCTTGTGGGCGTGGTCGTCGGGCAGGAAGCCCTTGTTGTCGCGGCCGTGGAAGTGGCGCCGCCTGTTGGCCGCGCCGTGGCCGCCGTGCCGCTCCGCGCGCGCGTCCGCGGACGTGGCCGACCCCGTGACTCTGCGCCGCCGCCGCGCCGCCCTGGAGCGCTGCGAGAGCGCGGCCCCGGCCAGGCCCAGCATGAGCAGCAGCAGCGCCACCCCGCAGCCCGCCGCGCCCACCAGCAGCCAGACGTCCCGGACACGGCCTCGCGCGGCCAGCGGCACCGGGGCGTGCAGGTAGGCTGCGGACCAACGCGATGTACGGTGTAGCGAGGCGACCCAGTGAAAAGGTGGCTGGGAGTTGTGCGAGACTCACGCTCGGCCTTGGTGATGATGGGCAGGCCCAACTCCGCGGCCATCTCGTGGTCGCTGATGAGCCTCATGTCGTGGGCCGCCGTCGCGGCGGGGACGGGCCGGCCGCGCACGCGCACCCAGTACAGCAGGCGCGCCGCCGCCGGGCTGGCCGCCGGCACGCCCTGCACCGAGCCGCCGCGGACCAGGGTGGTCACGTTGTGCACCGTGACGCGCACCACGTCGGGGGCGCGGCGCAGGCGGGCCAGGGCGGCGAGCGCGGACGCATTCACGATGCCGAGGTGGCGCTCCTGCTGCCTGCTGGCCAGGGAGTGACAATGAGCACTGCGAACCTGGACCCTGCGGCCCTGGTCTCACCCCACCCCTCCGTACCTGAGGAAGGCCGCCTTGTAGAGCCGGGCCAGGCGCGCCTCCAGCAGGTCGGTGGCCAAGTGCCAGTCCTGGGTGTCGTTGGCCTTGAGCACGGTTACGAGCCAGAAGCGCGGGTCCGGCAGCGAGTCGTCGTGCGCCTCGTCGGGGTACTGGGGGCCGCTGCCGTTCAGCAGGGTCCAGGACGGTGACGCCGTGGAAGGCACGTTGCCGCTGCCCTCTCCGGGCCAGGGGAAGCTCGTCGTCGGCGAGATGGGTCCCACGGGGGAGCTGAGCAATCAAGACGAACTCAAATAAACAACACCTCCGCGAGGCAGTGGGGGACACAGCAGTGGCCACAGCAGCCAGTCGCACTCACCGAGGCACCTGCGTGATGATGAGCGAGGTGGTGTAGAGCGGCGTGGGCGTGGCGAGGACGGTGGTGGTGGCGAACGCGGTCGTGGTCTTGTACACAGTGGTGGTGGTGAACCCTGGGATTCCCCCTCCCGGCCGGGGGCTGGCCTCCACCTCGCCGTCCCCGGACCCCGTCCACAAGAAGTCCTCCAGGCGGTAGGTGCGCCGCATGGCCGCCTCCTCCAGGACTCCGCTCTCTGGAAGAGAAGACTGCCTCAAGATCGGAGCAAGGCGAGCAGGGCGGAGCGCGGAGCAAGGCCGCCTGCGGGGCCGGAGGTAGGCAGCGCGCTCCACATCTGCTCCGTCGGGGTGCCTACCCGCCAGTTTGCAGGCGCCAGACCGTGCATTGCGGGGTGTCGTCGATGGTTTTCTTTTGGGACGCCCTGCGTAAATCCGGCGTTTATATTTGAGAGCTATACTGCCGTATAGGTACATTCTCGTCTACTCTCATTTCGAGGTGTTTCTTGTGGAGGTGCCGGGCTGTTCCGCGCCGGCAGGCTCAGCAGGCCCGTGCTGCATGCCGGGCGCGCGGGCGCTGGCTTCTTTGCAAGCCACCTCCTTTGGTTATCGACCTGCCCATGCCCACGTGGCCGTCGTACCGTGGTGGTGGTGGAGGCGGCGAAGGGGGTGCGGGTGCTCCCGCCTCCCCCTCGATGCACCTGTGCGTGCCAGCCCTGCCAGCCCTGCCAGCCCTGCCAGCCGAACCCGCACGCGGCGCCCTCCACCGCCTCGCTCGCCGGGGAAGTGACACTCCGTGCGATGCCCCCCCCCCCTCTTCTACCATGCATTCAACTAGCCCCTGCCTGCCAGCCCTGCCAGCCCCCAAGGCGGCCCGAATAAAATCCATCGGCATCGAGCGGCGCTCCTAGCGGGGACCCCACGCACTGCGCGCACTGCGCACGCATGCGGGGCGCGGCGGGAATGCAGCACTGTGGGACGGCGGGGCGGCAGGGCGGCGGGGCGGCAGGGCGGCGCCCAGCGGCCTTTGTGCGGCCGTGCGGCCAGTGGCACCCTGGAGGCACCAGGACGCCGCCCTGCCCCGCCGCCGCGGCGCCGCGGCCAGGATCACGCCAGTGGACGCTAGAGGCTCACCGGCACCACAGCGGCCACCTCGCCGAGGAGGCCCCCGAGGCCGCCGAGGGCCTGGCCGGCCTGGCCGCCGTCGTGGCGGCGGAGACTTGCACGCTGGACCGCTGGAGGCAGTGTTGCCAAAATAGATGCCCACGTGCACAACTATCGAAAGGGCTACGGCAGTGGGCAAGCTGGTTACGGTTGGCCATGGATTTGCGAGTGCCTGGCCTTTATTTTATTTTAAGTCAATTTGAACTTTTTGATTTTGATTTTTACGCTTTTAAGGTAACGGAAAGCGGACTGACTTTCATAATCTTTCGCGGAAAACGGCGCTCTTCGTCCGAATGGTTGGTGGTGATTCCCCCACCTTCTAGCCAGACAGTGCGTAAGGAAGGGCACGAGGCCGACGTGCCTGGGCCTCCAGTGGGCCTCGGGGGGGGGGGGGGGGGGGGGGGGGGGGCGTTGGCGGTGACAGGCGCGGGGCTCTGCGCCGGCCCGCCTCCACGACGGCACCCTTGCTCGCAGCCCAAGACGGGAAGCGTCTGTCAATTTAAAAGCAAGTTAGCTTCCCGCTGCCTAGCTCCTTGGCACGGAGTACGGAGCCGAATGCCAGAACGAGCCGGACGATGGGAACACGCCGGGCTCACTGAGAGGCTCGGCTCGCTGTGCCTGCTGCTTGTTTGAGCTTCAAGTGCTGAGTGCGGGGCAGCGCTGACTGTTTGCAGGTATCGATCCGCACGGCCTGCAAGTGTGTGTGAAAGAGAGGGAGGGAGAGAGAGGTAATGTGTGCACCGGCGTCCGCGCCGTCGGGCCGAAATGACCCAATGCCTCACTAGGCTCTGGCCGCGCCGGGCCAGACTAAGCGCCAAGGCACGGCCACAATGCCTCGTCAGCGTCCGCGTGCTCCACGACGACCATCGGGACGCCCTCGCCGCGGAGGGAAGTCCGGCCCGGATTGCCCCCCCCCCCACGAGTGGCCGGCTGACGAGGGAAAAGGGGGAGGGGCGGGGGCGGCCTGTCAGCCTGCCTTCCGTCGGGGCTTCGGCTCCGCATTGCTCCGCATTGCTGCGTCGCTCGAACTTGACGCGTCCGTGGCGCGCGGTAATATTCACAGTGCGTTACGAGACTGGGGGCACCGCGCGGCACTGCCTTCCAGGCCTGACAGCCCTTCCCTCCCTCCCAGCGGCCTGGAAGGCGGAAACCTGCGCCTTTCAACGGACTGCGCCGAGTCAATAACCCGGCGATGAAACTTGGCCCGGCACGGCCGGCACGCCAAGCGACGCGGGTGTGCACAGCCGGGCCAATGAAGGTTAAAAGAGGGGGGCAGAAAACCGCTCCTCGTGGATTCCGGAAACCCCTAGACAGTTTGCTGCAGCCTCCGCGCCCCCTCCCTCCGGGCTTCTTTCCCGTGGCTCCGCCAGTGTGATCGCCCCAGTGTGCCGGCGCCGGAATGCGCGAACCAGGATCCCGCGCATGCAGCGACGCGCACGCAGCAGTGACACGCAGTGACACGCAGCCGCCACTGCGCGCCACGCTGCGTCGCCACGCTGCCTCGCCACGCTGCATGCACGCGCGGTCGGCCCCAGCCGTCGGGCCCGTCAGCCGGTCGGCCCGGGCGCTGGGCACGCTGGGCACGCTGGGCACGCTGGGCGTGTAAGTGAAGCGGAAGTCGGTGCTCGCTGGACCGCGACGCCGGCACGCCGGGACCCGATTGCGCAGCCAGATAGAGTAGCCAGCCGAAGTGGCGGCCAGGGCCGGTACCTGAACGATGTCCACACACTGGCTATGTCATGTTTCAACAACAACACTTTCAGGCAGTTTTGCGTTGCGATTCGAAGTCCCGCACCGTTGCCCAGGTTTTGGGTTACATAGTATTGGTAAATATTGCTAGGCTGCCGTCGAGCAGTTTTGTGCGACTCTGCGAGTGGAAGACGGGAGACGCGGCGTTGTTGTCACGTTTTGCCTACTTTCAGGGGCGCCACGTTTAGGGCAGTGCCTCGCCTGGAAGTGGCCACGCCGAGCGCAGCCCGCTGCAAAGCGCCAAAGCCGCGGCCCGAATATCCGGACCGGAGGCCGGCGAGGGGGGGGGGGGGGGGAGGCGAGGCGGATGGCGTGCGCCTCACGGAGCCGTGCTGCCTCGCTGTCTTCCCGGCGTCGGGGCGGCCCGTCCAAGGGGCGGCCCAGCGGCCCAGCCGCCCAGCGGGGCCTCACCTCACCTGCCGAGGAGGCGCCGCGACTTGCCGCGAACTGCGAAATTGGGGGAAGGCGGAACGACGTCGTTGGGCCCGTTGGGCCCGTTGGGCCCGTTGGGCACGTTGGGCCCGTTGGGGTAGGACAGCACGCGAACGGCACGCGACGCGCCGGGACGAAGCCGCGACAGCCTGGCGGGCTTCCCGAATGAATTCGGCACGGGGGGCAGCCCAGGCCAGCCCAGCCCACGCCGTAGGCCGGGCTAATGTGTCTGGGTCACGATGCGCGGCTCTGCGCGCTCACCCGGCCCACCGCACCGCGCCCCCGCGGGGGCAGCAGGCCAGCCAGCCCCGCATCGAACGGCGGCAGGAGGAGCGGAGTCAATGGGGCCGTTTGGGCCCCAAATAGGGATGGAGATTTGAAAAGCGACTCCCAGGACTTGGCCGGCCCGCCGGCCTCCAGCCATGGCATGGCCCAGTAGGGCAGCAGACCGCGAGGTGTCCGCAAGCATTGCTACGCACTGCAGGAAATAACCACAACAAAAGTACACAAATTTCTGGCAAATTTTTTATCAGGTTTTTATTGTACTTTCAAAGTACAACAATTGTTGTACAAAGTACAATGGAACCGGCATGACGAGTGCTGGGCAGTGCAGGCCTCGTTGTGGTTTGTACAATTCTCGTTGTACTTTCTACAATCCCTGATGTACTTTTATTGTACAGTTTTTGTTGAACATTTGTTGTACTATTCACACTTTTTCTTGCAGTGCGCGTCGCTACGCACCTGTGCGCTCGGGCCAGTCATACTGCTGCTGCAGCGCGTGCTGGGAGCAGAGGACGCCGATGAAGAGGCTCAGCCCCAGACAGCGCATGACGAGACAGCTCAGTCCAGTGCGTCCGGCGACGTCGGCGGCGTCCTGGGGGGCGCAGGGGCGGCGCTCAGCGCGGCGGGCAGGCGAGCGTCCCCGGCCATGGCTGCGGGCGGACTGGGGACTACTGGCGGACTGGCGGCCAAGCACAGGCACAGGCACCGGAACCGGGCGCCCCACCGGCACCGCCCCACGCCCCGCCCCGCCACGCCGCGCCACGCCGCGCAGGACCCCGTGCCACCCCACGGCAGCAACGGCAGCCCCTACGACGAGGCCCTCCCCGCACTGGCTGGTCCGCGTAGGTAGGCAACCCATTCAACACGCATGCAGTCTGAGACGAGCTTCCGCGGGTGCCGTGAGCTGCCCCTCGCCTTACCTCTCGACTTTGGTGGCTTCAAAATAGCTGTTATGGGGGACAACGGGGACGAAAGGGAAAAGTGTCTGCCGTTTTTCGGTCGCGCTACCCTCCGCCCGACGGGTGGAGCTGTTCAGTGTCTTAAGATCAGGCGGCACGACTTTAATAGTAATGTGTAATCGGGTATTTTCGTCAATAAAAATGCATGTCGTACACATAATAAGAATTTTAATCTATACAAAGTGCAGTGCAACAGTTGTTTACATCCATTTTCGTTTGACAAAGGATAAAATATAACCGTAAAAAAGAAAGGAGTCGTCATCCACAACTGCAAAATAAAACAATTGAATCGGGAAACCGAATTTTATTCCGTCTTACATGCACCCTGTAGGAAAAAAGGCGTAAGTTGACTTGTTGAACTTGCAGAGCTTTTGCGAGCTGCTAGACGCATAGTATTGACTCGAAATCAAAATGATGCCCGGAATAGTAATAACATTTTATGTTTGTGTCATCGTTTCACTCCAGAATGAGACAATACTATGAACTTTTTTTTTTGATCACTGGGAAAATCAGTCTTTTCGTTAGCTTAGTTGATTGAAAAACAAGGCTCGTTTCCTTTCAAGTAGTTATCCAGAATTACAATTATTAAAATAGAACACATGACTATGAGGTAAACCACCGCGTCGCGAACTTTAGACCTACTTAACAAAAAATTCTACATCACAACATTATTTCGATCTAATGTGCGCGAGCGACAAGACCAATGCCCAAACATGTGCTCCGTGAGGGAAGTCCCGGGGTGGCTCCACTGTGCACGGCGGCAATTTTCCTTTAAATCTAGAAACCAGTACGACATTGCAACAATTTTTTTCTGCGCGCTACTCAGTGATTACCCTCTGCCCCTCGATATGGTACCCCTGGACTAACTTTCCTCACCAAAGAAGAAAATAACTGGCCTGAAATATTGTCTTACCAGTCCAACATACAAAACAAAAAAAATTGTTTGCTTCTTTAGCACATTTTTGAGCATGGTTGCGGTACAGTTTGGTGAGCATTCATGCACCGGTGTATAGAGATCTAGTGCACATCGCAGGTACAACATTCAAGTGAGCAAATCGTACGATCATATGGCGGCTAACAAATGAGGTAGAGACTACATTTTGGTTCATATTGTTCAGCAACAAGTTAAATATTACAACAACCAGATTCATGAATATGTAAAGATACCCGGGAGTGAAGCTCCTCTATGCACAAAAAAAACATTAAAAAAATAAAAAGTTAAATAATGGAATTTGACTCTGGATGCGTGAGCGAAACAAGGTGACCAGCCCTGTTTATGGTTTAGATCACATTGCGGAGGGATGGCCACCGCGCTGCCCCGCGGAATCGCTTCACCAAAGGCAAATGTACCCCAAGTAAATGAATACAACTTAAATACGAAAAATACCAGCACTTACAGCTGCATAGCATTGAGAAAAAAACGGTCAGTCTTCATACAAAATAATATTGTAAATAAAACGATGTGGTACTTAGGAAATAACGATATGGCCATTTTGTTTCACCCATGAAGAGTAGGACTACCAACATACAAACACGTCCTTTGCAGGAACTACCACATAGTTTCCTGATGAACATAGTAAAGTGTAACAAATAGTTGTCTTGGAACGAGCTACTAATGTGAAACATAACTTAACGAAACCAAAGACATACGAACTCGCAAAACAACGAGCAAATTAAGGCACCTTAATAAAAATTTCCAAAACGAAAAAAGAGGAGGGTGCGACTGTGTGGTGTCGACGTTGCAAAGTGCACCTATAGTGCTCACAAAATAGACCGAACATAACATCTAGTGACACAACACACATTTTTTTTTCAGAACTCGTAAAAACACGCAATACATGAAAATTTAAAACACTTTTGAATCTGACTGATTTGCTATTTAGAGCATCACGAATATCAAGGCACAAGTAGAAATTTCCCATATTTTAAATTAACCGTCAACACACATAGCATTCACTTATACAAAGCACTTTCACGTAACCCTTCTCTTTGACAGCACAAAACCAATATTCGCGCGTCTGCCGTACCTTAAGTCATGGAATGTATTCCTTTGAGGTAGGCACTCAACCAGAGACAAGGCACGAATTTAAATTTTTTTGCAACAAGATAGTAGGTAAACTCTGACACCTTTAACTTATGAGCTACGAAATAATTCGCATTAGTCGCCCATTACGATTAGCTTACACAACTTTTGCAATATTACATTTGAAATCACAGATCTAATTTTAAAAATTATTTCGCGAGCCCTTTGGGCGCCTGGTTTATGTACAAATACTATGATTTCAAACACTTGAGTTAAAAACCAACCATGAAAATATTTTGGTGGCCGTCGCACTTTCGCACAACGGTGGAAAAACGAGGCGAAACGATAAGGCACGTCGGCGACTGACTCTTAGTCTACAATAACATACATACAAACACAATTCAGTCTTTTAAGCCTATGAATAGACATAGAATTGTAACATTTCAATAACAAATATCATAATCTACAACTACAATTCGTTAAATAAGTGCCATTTGTACACAGGAATAATCATTATTAAAATAATAACATTGATATGAACAGGGCTGGGAGCCACTTCATATATACTTTCATATGCGCTTTACATGGTCTGGATGAGTACAGTCAGTACAGGAACAAGTAACGGTACGTACAGTAATTGAGCTTTAAGGTACTGCGTTTGGTGCAACGCGGCGCGACCAACGCGACGAGAGGCAGTGGCAAGACCCGTCGTCATGGAATCTTCCACTGACTAGAGCGAGGGGCACGGAGGGACAAACCAGGTTTGCAGCCCTTCGTGAGAAACAGCTGAGCCTCAACAATAAAATATCACAACACCTTGTCAAGGCAAAAAGTGAGCAAGGACATTCCCACCAACGAAGCGACTTCGGTAAAATATTAAAACAGACAACTATAAGTCGACTAGCTGATGGAAATCTTGTGTAAGAACCCGGTATTGATTTGAAAATTGTTCAGAAATGACAAAAAGAAAAGAGAAAACATTAGAATCAACAAAAAGAAAACAAAATGACTCGAAATTTCTCTCTTTAGGACGGCAGTAATTATGGTACTTGTTCCCGGGGATAAGGCACTGGCCAGCGCTTCGCTTGGCACGACCGGTAGTGGACATCACAACAAAACAAGTATCACTTCGCCAACAACAGAAAAAAATGAAGTCAATCACAAAAATAACACGACTGAGAGAGCACTCTTCAAAACGCTAGAAGCAACAACGTCGCGCCGATGAACGAATTGGAGTTGGGCCCGTAAAGACTGCCCTCTCAAGTCAGTTCCGATAAAATATCATAATTCGTCAAATATAGTTTTCAAAAAGCTTGCACAGCTTCTATACCCACTTTAGGCATAACACACTTCTGCTCAAGTAGTTAAAGACACTTCAAAAGGAACAATAAAAATAATAATAATAATATAATAATAATATTAATAATATTAATAATCATAATAATAATAACCACTAACAAATAAATCTATTTACATAATTTATCTTTTATAAAACTCTCATTCTCTTTCTCTCTCACACATACAAACACATTCACACTCACAATTACACACAGTCATGCTCTCTCTCACTCTCTCTCGTTCACTCTCCCGCAGGTAGACATTCGCACTTTCAGTCTTGTACCGGCCAGCTGCCGTGCTGCCAACCTTACACACTCACATCATGCTAAAGAAGGTTACAATAAAACTACTCGGGCCGGGTCGGCGAGGTTGGCAGCACAGCGGATTTGAATTGAGTCCTCAGTCTTATCGTTGCGTGAGTGCTGGAGTCCGAGATGAGGGAGGGAGGCTATTGCACGTTCCGTCCTGGGGCTGCTCACCCGGAGGGGAGGGGAAAGGGGAGGGAGGGAAAAGGGGGGAGGGAGGAGGCGGCCGAACGCTCAATCCCGCTCACCGCCGACTTCCATGGGGCTGCCACGGGTCTCCTCCATGCCGATGATAGGCCCCCGTATCTCCAGCCCCCGATCCAGGTCCCTCTCTCTCTCCCGCTCCCGTTCTCGCTCTCGCTCCCGTTCCCGTTCCCGCTCCTCCTCTTGGCGCGCGGCCTGCATGCTCACGATGACGCGAGAGGCGTGGGCGGCCGGGCCCGGCGGGGACATCTCCTCGGACGACGACGTGGTCCTGGCGACGGACAGGTCCTCCACCTGGTCCTCCTCGACGTCCATGGCGGGTGACGGGGCGTCGCGGGGCTGCGGCGACTCGCTCCGCTGGGGGCCCACTCCCTCGCGGGCCTGGGCCTGGGCTTGCGCCTGGGCCAGGGCGTGGCCCAGCGAGCCCAGGGGCGCCAGCCCCAGCACGCCGGCCAGGGCGTGGTGCGGGAACCGCGGCGGCACGGAGCCCTTGCCGCTAGGCGAGGGCGATGGCGACCGCGCGCCCTCGCTGCCCTGGCGGTCCCCGTGGCGGTCGCCGTGGCGGCTGTCGCGGTCCTCGGGTGGGCTGTTGGAGTTGCCCGAGTTGATGCTCAGGGCGTGCGCGGCCTGCGCGGCCTGCGCGGACGCCATGGCGGCGATGGCCTCCCGCTCCATCTCGGCCTTGTCCATCCAGTGCTCCACCAGGCCGCTGGCGGACAGCGCGGCGCCGACGTTGGGCGCCGTCGCGTTGTCGCCCTCCTCCAAGTTGTGGCCCATCCACTGCGGGGCGCCGCTGATGCCGAACGGGAAGGCGACGCCGTTGGCGGTGCTGGGCCCGCCGCTGTTGCTGCCGCCGCCGTTGCCGTTGCCGGCGCTGCTGGCGCCGCCGTTGGAGGCACGCTTGATGGGCCGGTTGGTGACGATGCCGCGCTTCTTCACCTTGTCGTACAGCGTGCGCGACGGCACGCCGAACTTGCGCGCCGCCTGCAGCGCCGACATGCCGGTCTTCACGGCCTCGATGGCGGACTCGATGTCGTTGCGGGTGTACTGCTTGTAGCGCTTCCACTCGGGCTTCTGCTGCTGGACGTAGGGCACGATGTTGGACGACACGCCTGCAACACAAAGCACTGGTCAGTGCGCGGGGAAGAGCGAAGCCGCCCGGCGGCAGGCAGCGGGCCGAGCGGGCGAGTCGGTTGGGCTGCCTACCCGCCGGGCGGCCGTCGCCCTCGCGAGCACGGCGCGGGGTAGGCAGCCCATCCGGCAGCTGTGGGGTCGGCTAAGTCAAATGGGCTGACAATGACATTGAATGAACACCAACAGAGTCGGCATCAAGTGATTATGCAGTCAGCTCATTGCCCTCGGCGCAGGGCCCCTCCCTCGTGCCTGCCCCCCCACCCTCACTCCCCCCTCACTCCCGCGGAGTCCCCTTGAAGTCGCCAACGGGGTAGGGCTACTCACCTCGCATGTCGGCGGCGCTCAGAGGAGACGAGGACGGAATCATCATTCGAGACTGCGGGGAGAAACAACGACTATTAGTGTACTGTCCAGTCCAGTGGTGGCGGCGCCGTGGCAGCCTGCGCTGGAAGGAGTTGGCTGCTTACCCTTTCCAGATCCTCCTCCGTCATCGAGGTGTCAGTGTAGGGCGAGGGCGAGCCTTCGTTGCCTTCCTGTTTTATCTGTGAAAAAAGAAAGGGGGATTTGAGACACTCCGTCCGCTGTCACTCTGGGCGCTGGCCGCTGTGATTTGCAGGGACGCGCCGACACATCACTCAGCCACTCACCTTCTCGAAGTCGTACATGTAGCCGTTGGAGTGGGCGTGCGAGCCGGGCCTGGCGTCGTGGGAGTCGGGGTGGCAGACGAGGGACACGGGCTGCGACGAGTCGGCCTGGCCCTGGGCAGCGCCCGCGCTCGCACCCGCCGCGCTGCCCCGCGAGCTCGCGGCTCCCTGGCCGTTGCCGGCCGCGCCGCCCTCGGCGCCCTGCGCCTGGCCCAGGACGGTCCGCAGGATGGGGGTGTCTCGGGAGTGCAGCAGCAGGGAGGACAGCTTCTTGCGGTGCAGCGGGGACATGTCGCCGGACTCGTAGGCCGCGGCCAGCAGCGAGGACTGCGCGGCCGGCACGCCGGGCAGCGCCACTCCGGGCAGGCCCCACAGCGGCAGCGACAGGCGCGCCCTCTCCCTCTCGCGGTCACGCTCGCGGTCCGACGACGGCGAGCCCTTGAAGGGGTACTTGTAGGTGCTGTGCGGCGGGCTGGAGGCGCCCAGGCCGGTGGACGTGGTGATGGAGGACGGCGGCGACGGCGCCGAGGACGGCGTCATCTCCTCCTTGGGGTTGCTGATGGTGTTGTTGTTGTGGTGCTTGTCCTTATAGTCTTCAGCAGAACAGCTGGAGTGGTGGCCGTTCTCCTCGACCAAGCCTTTCACCTGCAGAACACACAAAGGGGTTAGACGACGAAACCAAACCCGAGACACATTTCGTTGCCAGAGCAGTGACCCACCTTGAGTGTCTCGGCGACCCGGATCAGGGCGGTGAGCTGCTGCTGCTCGACGTTCACCTCACCGCGGTACATGTACTCCAGGATGGCCTTCATGTCCGAGTACTTGACGTCCTTGAGCACCACCACGGGGTGCTTGCAGGGCAGCTCCGCGAAGAGGGCGGCGAAGTAGCCCGAGCACGCGGCCAGCACCATCTTGTGGCACTTGATGGAGACGCCGCCTTCGCAGGCCAGGGTGACGTCGGTGAAGGCCTCGGACTGGAGCAGCTGGTCGAAGACGGTCAGCAGGTTGGAGCGGTGGTTGTTCCATCGCAGGCAGTACTGCTGGCCGCTGTTGGCCATCATGGCGCCGGCGTCAACGCCCGAGGAGGGCGACGGGCTCCGGCTGCTGCTGCTGCTGCAGCTGGGCGTCGTGGTCTTGAATGGGGTGGTCGCCGGGGGTGTGGCCCGCGTCGTTGGCGGCGTGGCGACAGCGCTACGACGGCCGTTCAGTCTGAAACAGAAGGAGGCGCCGTTGAAATGACGGCCTCGATTCCGCAACCCTCGCGGATGGTGTTGACGCGGACGTGTGCACACACGCGCTAAAAGGGAGAGCGGCGACCTTCCGCAAGGCCAGGTGGGGGATGCCTTGCACCTCGCAGTCTGACCGCCGCGTGGCCGCGTGTGCCGCGCACCCTGCGCGACGTGCGCGACAACAACGCCGTCATCCTCGTGGCTCCCCCCGAGCAGGCGGCCGAGCCACGCCAAGCCAGCGCACACCGAGCCTTTTGCCTTTATCGGAAAGCGTGTCACGGGGGTTGCGAGTGCGTCCCTCCCCTTTGTGCCGGCCCCACCAGCCCTCATCCTCACAACACTCTCTCACACACATGCACTCACACACACGAGGCCTCACACACGTGGGCAGGTACGGACGGCTCCGCTATAATCCGCGGGGGGTGAGAAGAGAAGTCGAAGTCCACGCCGGGCGACGCCGTGACGTGACGCCAGGTGGCGATCGGGCCGCGCGCCCTCCACCCCCGCAGTCCCGCCCCTCGCCCGCCCGATAGGGGTGCCTAGGCGCGTCTAGGCGAAGCCGCGGGTCGCACGCCCTGCGAGCCGCGCCGGCCGGCCCCGCCCACACGTGACGCCCTGTCTGTCTAATCACAACTCCAATTGTCGATAAGCGGACGTGCATTGTTGCCGTGAGCAGGGAAGTGGCGAAGTCGCCCCGGCCGGGCCCTGGCCGCGAGCTGCACTTCGGTCTCGCGGACCAGCGGCGGCGGCGGCGGCTGCATTGAATGCACACGACGACCACGGCGATGCGGACCAGACGGAGAAGGGAACAGGGGAGGGGGCGTCAGCGGCGCGGCTAGTGTGCCACGCCGCGCCCTGCCCAGACCGCCCAGACATACTCCACGCCCCCGCGCCGCGCGCCCGCTGCCTTACCGACCTCGTCAACGCAGTGCGGCGTCTCGCCGCTAGATGGCGTGCGGCGCGGCGCCGCCCGGGCCTACTCGGGCCTACTCGGGCTCTGTGCGCGCGGCGCGTCCTGCGAACCCTTTCGGGTAGGTAGGACTGCGTTGGCCGCGTGGTCCCACGCGCTGCGCTCAGCGCTCGCCCCCCTGCCTGCGCCCCGCCGCCCCGTCGCCCCGCCGCCCCGTTGCCAGCGCGTCCCGCCCCGTCCGGAAGTGCACGCGGACAGTTTGTTTACCCGGCGACGTCACGCCGCGCTGCCGCGCCCTCTGTACGAGCAGGTCGCCGGGGCGGGGCGGGGGGACTGATAATGTCGCCAACTAATCAGCAATAGCACCGCGGCAGCACCGCCCGGCCGAGAAAGAGGCCTGCTTGGTGCGGCGCGGGGCGCGGGCCGGCCGGCGGACCGCGCCACCAGTACAGTGTACCAACAGCAGGGGTGAAGGACAGCTTTCGCAAGTCGTGTCCGGTGCATTGCCGTGCACTAGCGTACGTTGCCACCGGCCCGTCGCAACCTTCGAGCCAAAAATGCAAATGTGCTGCGTGCGGCGCGGGCCTACGCCGAGTGCCTTGTCGGTGCCATGGCAGTGCCATGGCAGTGCCTTGGCGGGGCGGGGCAGTGACTTCACTGGGCGTCGATGGGCACCACGGGGGTGGCTTAGCAAGAACGCTGTGCATCCCGAGGGCGTCCCGACATGGCACCCCGACGGCGTCGCGGCAGTGGCTTCGCCGGGCAGCACCAAGGGCCGTGCAGTGCCCGCGAGTCTGGGCCGGGGCCGGAGGGGCGGTAATGCACGCCCTGGGCGGCCCTTGGTCGGCCGCCCCCGCCGAAAAAGAAAACAAATCGGCTACACTCTTTACGGCCCGGCCGGCAGGGGGTTGCAAATCCGTATGCTAATGATGCTTAATGGGGCCTTTCGATGAATCCTAAGCGCACGCAGTCCAGTGGTCGACCAGGCCGCCAGGGGTGGTCGGGGTGGCCGGGGCCCAGCCGGCCAAGGCCCTGCCTAGCGTGCCAAATGCACATTACCAAAAGCAAGATTTGGCACTTTACGGCCGAAACTTACATCAGGGCGCCGACCAGCCCAGCCCGCCCGGGCGCCGGCTGGAGGGGGCATGAAAAAGTGGACGCGTGAACCAGGCTGGATAGGCAATCGTTTTAAGGGCCTTTTTTGAGGGGGAGGGGGAGGGAAAAGCGAACCGCTTCCGCGAACGGTCACCTCCCTCCACTGGGTCAAGTGGGTCTTCACGTCGGCCAGGTGAGGGGAAGGGTTTGCAAAGTGTTGGGGGTGCGTGCATGGTGCATCCACAAGGTTCGTGCTTGGTTCAAAGTGCCAAAAGTCACCGTGCTCTAGACCTGGCTTTCCTGTTCAAAACAACCCCGCTTGGTGCCCCGATTCGACTCACGCTGGGCGAGGCACTCTGATGAGCATGGTGCTGGCGGCCCGTCCCACGCTGCAGTGGCCGGCCCGGCCTCCTGCACGGCCTGCGCGGCCAGCGTGGCGAGGCGCGGCCAGCGCGAGGGTCACGGCGGCTATTAGCGTGTCGCCACGTCAGTACTAACTAGCCAGATCAATAGCCCCCATAAGACACAGCGGCCACGTGAGACACTTGCAAAGGGGTGCATTATGCAGGACGCCAAGCGGGCCGCCTCGCGCCGCCTCGCGCCGCCTCGCGCCGCCCCGCGCCGTCGCGGAGGCGTATAGGTACACGTGGGACTTAACGGCTGGCTGCATCAGGGTCGATGCAGGCAGGAGGAGCATCTCGAGCCACGTGGTGCACCACCATTGGCTGGTCACTACGTATTGGAAGCGCAGCGTAAGTAGGGCAAATTGCGCCGGGTCGCGCACAACAACATGCGGGTCGGGCCGGCGGCCAGAACGAGACGCGACAACGCCCGTCGACAGCCTCGGAGGAAGGGAAGGAGAGAGGACGGTGTCGCCACTGGAGGGCCGAGCACTGGAAGTGCAACAGCAAGTCCCAGCACAGTGCACCACGCTGGAGGAGCAAGTCCCGGTGCGACGCACGCCGGAACCGCAAGCCCCGGCGCGAATCACGTCACTAGAACTGCGAGTCCCCGCGCGAAGTGCGAAGCGCGGAGCACGCCACTGAAAGTGCAAGTCGGGACGGGGCGCAAAGCGCTCGGCCGACCGACCTCCGAGGCCGCACATCCAGTCGGGGCCGGGAGGCCGGGCACGACAGCGAGCACCGGGCTGTCAGTTCGGCCCTACCAACAGGTCGGCGTCCAGGGCGTCCTGGGGCTGGGACGCCGAGGGACGGCGGACACCACACATACCTCGGCGGGGGGATTCGAACCCGCAAACCTGCCAGCCGCGAGCGCCGGCCTGCCGGCCTGGCAGCGGCAAGACCGGGGAAGAAACCCGGGCTGTCAAGGAGTTACGCCGAAGGGCCACTCCAGGTGGGGCTCAGATGGGCCGTGGGGCTCCGCAGAGCCACAGGTTAGCGCAGCTTTGAACACGCCTGGTGAGGCCGCAGGCGCCGCAGGCCCGCCCGGAACCCAGACGGCCGGCCCGGAGGCCTTCCCCGGGGGCGTCGCAGAGTCGCTCTTGATAACAACACAGTGTAGGTCCTCGAGTCGCACTAACACACGCACACAGTCCGCTCAGTTCGGCACTTCACTATCACTACACTTGTCACAACACACTGCACCGCACTGCACCGCCGCCGCACTCGTGGCATGGCATGCGCGTAGCGCAGCACACCTACCTACCTCAGCACTACGATAATGGACTTGCACTTGCCCGACACGGGGCCTGCCTGCCAGTCGACCTCCTGCGTTCCCTTCCCTACCCGAACTGAGGCTAGACGCAACGCATGTGGTCAACAACCTTCCCTCTACCCCCTCCAAGCTCCGAGCGCACCCCCTCCCTCACCGACCCGCACCCTTCCCCCTCCCCAGCCGGGCTAGGCCGGGCCAGCCGAATGCAACGCAAGATAGCAGGCTGGCTGGGCTAGGCTGGGCTAGGCTGCGCTAGGCTGCACCACGAGCCGGCCGAAACGCGGCGCGCGGCGACCCGAAGCATTGCCGAACGAAGCCGAAGGCGGCGGCCGGGGGCCGAGGGGGCGGGGCGGGGGGAGGCGGGGGGTGGCGGCGCGCCAAAGGGGTGGGGCGCACTGCCGAACTAACTGGCGGGCGGCGTGCACGAGGACCCAGGGCGGCCCAGGGCCTAGCGAAGGGCCTTCCCTTCCGCTGCCAGCGCTGCCAGCCAAGCCAAGGGCAGCCATGGGGCCGGCGAGGCAGCGCTGCAGCGCCGCGCCCAGCGAGCCCAGCGATGAGCAAAGGGCCGGGGCCAACGCGGCCCCAAAGGATAGGTCCGGCCCGCCCGCCCCGCCCGCCCCGCCCGCCCCCCCGCCCCGCCCGCCCCGCCCGCCCCGCCCGCCCGCCCCGCCCCGCCACCAACCTGTTTCACTTAGGACGGTCCAAAAGAAGACGCTCTCGACGGTTCCTGGGCGGCACGATGGTCGGCAGGCTGCTGCAGCGCTGCAGCGCGCCGCGCGGCTCGCTCGGCCTGTTCTGTTTCTCAAGTGTTGTTCCGAACGGTGCTTCATCCGTCGTCCTGTCTCTCTCAAGCCCAGACGGGACGCCCCCAGCGCGAGAGAGAGAGACAGAGCGACGAAATCACTGTTTCGAATCAGCCTGCGACGGAAGTCCGAACGAACGACCGGGGTGTGAATCGCGATAACGGTCGCAGCAGAACCGCCCGGAGGAACCAATGCCAGAAATACTAAACAGCGATGCGAGCCGGACCGGGCCCATCAGAAAACATGCAAACGAAACCGAAAACCGAATAAGCCAGTCCTAGAGCGTGCCCCCCTTTCCCCGCTGCACCTTCTGCCGCCCTCGGACAGGCCATGCGTCGCAGCGGCAGCAGCGGCGGCATGTGAAATTTTGCATAATTTATGCATCGGCCGCCGAAATTCTCACGCACATGCATTTCGGTGCACACCGGCCTAGGCGCGGCCGCGGCCCACCTGGGCGGCACTGCGCGGCACTGCCAGGCCGCCTCGGCCAAACCCGGGCAAACCCGTTGAGCGGCCCGCACCGCCACACACCGCCTCCTCCAAGCTCTCCAAGTGCGCCACCTTTCCGATAGCGTTCCTCCGCCGGCCACATCGCCACATCAGACCGTGCGAGCGGCACCATGTTTGTCGACCCGCCGCCCCGTCGCCAACACCGCGCGCGAGCTGCTGCAAGTTTGATGCGCCCTTCAGCGAATTTCGGCTTTGGCCCAGGTCGCGAGTCGCAGTCACTGGCTTCGCTGGCTTCGCGACCGCCGCCGGCCTGACCCGCGCCGTCGCGGCCGGATCGAACGCGGACTGCGGCTTGGCGGCAATCTCCTCATGCAAGATGAAGGCGCTTCCCCGGGCCGGCCCGCTGACCTCAATGGAACGACGTCCGCCGATACCTGCGAAAACACGCGCAAACATTCATCTCTGCCCCAGTTGTTTCATCGTGTTCGCCCGAGGATGTTTATTTTTGCGGACGTCCTTCATTATGGCCAGATTTATCGACGATCACGCTGTGTCCGCGTAGCCGAGGCCAGCCGATGCCACTCGCAGTGGGAAACACGAAGGCATGGAACGGTGGAAAAGTCACAGAGATGCAAACGCCACGGCCAGCAGCCCCCGCTGCTCCTCCGCCTGCTGCAAAAGGGTGCATACCTTCTGGGTGCATGCAAAGTAATTTCGACAAAATTATGCAGGGGACCTTTTAATTCCTTTCGCACTTTCCCATAGCCTTGGCGGCCTGCACGCCCCGCCCCGCCCCGCCCCGCCCTGGCGTGGACCCGCGGAAGTGAAGACGCTCCGGGCCGCGACCTGCAGGCCCTTGGCAGCCCTTGGCAGCCGTATGCAAATCAACACGCAATCCTTTCGTGGGAACGCACGCACTTACTCCAGCAATGAGGGTGCGTGTGCGTTTTTCCGTGTCCGTCTATGCAAAGCGGCAGAGCGGCTCCACCCCCTGGCCGCCCGGCCGCGCGGCCCACTGCAGTGGCGGCGCGGTGGCAGTGGCGCGGTCCAGGAAGGGAGCGCGAGGGATGCTGCGGGCTGCGTGCTGCACCACTTCCGACTTGCCGGCATTCCACGACGCGGCCGCGGAAAAGCTGTCCGTCTCTCTCGCACCCCCACGCGACGCCCCGAGGGCGAGAGAGACAGGGCGAGGAAAGCACTGGCTCCAGGTCAAGCCTGCTGCAGCGAGGCGCCACCACGTGCGCCGTCCCGTTTGTCGGCGACGCCGAGCCTCTCGGCCAGATGGTGCGGGTGGCCGACGGCACCATGACGGCACCAGGTGACCGCCAGGCCACCAGGTGAGTCAGTTCGTTTTGCTCGGCCATAATTCTGCAAAAAGCTTTTGGTTTTTATGTCAGGAACGTTGCTTGTGCCAAGAAAGAGCACATACTTTTTCGGGGCGTGCGCACAAGTCAACGGCTGCGAACGTGACCGTGCATCGCGCATACTTCAAGTGTATTGGACAACGATGTGGCTCACAACTCGTCGTGCATTGTTTTCCGGCCGACGGAGGGGAGATTTCCGATTCATATTTAGGAGAAATCGGCGGGAAAAGAGCCAGAAGTGGCCGGAAAGCCGAATCTCGGCGTGTGCAGCGCGGCCGCGGCCACAGGAAGCCCGATGCTCGGCCCGATGCGTGGAGCCGGCCAAAGGGTTCCCTCGTCTGGAAGCCTTCCAGTGGAAGGACCGGGCCGCAGTGGGCCAGCACGCCAGCACGACGCCAGACCGTCCAGACTAGCCGGGGAATCCGAGCAGAGTCTCCTGAGGGATCGGTTCGCACGCATATTTTGCATACGCAATGATTGATGTCAACTCCTAGGGGGGTACATCGCGTCTTAATGATATGCAAAATACGGGCTGCGAAAGGAGACGGAGGGGACACGCTCCCGAAAAAACGGGAATAACTAGGAGAGCGTCGTCGTGCATGCCGGCGATGCTGGCGGGGGTCGCGCGGCTCGCCGAGCAGATCCATTTTTTCTGTCCCCTTCATTGCATTCCTTGAAGGGTTGCGGACGGGGCTTTGCAAGAACACGCACTTCATGAAGGGGAGGGAGGAGGCGGCCGGGCAAATATCTGAGTTTAGTCGGCGTTTACGTGGTGTTACTCTTTCTTCGCAGAAGTGAGTGGAGGTCCGAACGCGGCCTTCCGTTTTCGCCATGCCTGGGCCGCCGGGGTGCAGCCTTGGTGCAGCCTTGGTGCAGCCTGCAGCTTGCAGTGCCCTAATAAGGGATCGCTAATCAAGCTTTCGGAACGGCAGCTGCATTGTTTCTCGTTTCCCGAGTAATAACGCAGCGAAAAGCAGCGCCAGCAGCGCGCGTGGGCCGCCAGCACGGCGGCAGCACGGCAGCTGCTCCGGCCCGGCTCCCCTGGCCCTGGCCCGACCGCCTCGGCTGGGCTCTTGCCTGTCCTTGCTCGGCTCGGCTGCGACGGGGCAAGATTCGCCGAAGAAAATAATTATGATCGGATCGGCGGCGGGTTGGCGGGGAGCTCGCAGGCAGACCAGCGCATCCCTGAAGGGTTGCGGCGGCACGGCGGCGCGGCGGCCACTCCACCGCGGCGACGGCCTCGCGCGGGTCGTGCGCACCCCTGGCCCCCGGCCCGGTGCGGTGCGGAGGGGGGAAGGGGGAAGGGGTCACCCAAACATTGCCGAAATGTAAATTTGGCGTGGCCCGCCCGACGCCGCGTGGCTAGAGTACACGCATCGCCTCGGCTTATCGAACTCCTTCAAGAAACATGCAAATTTGCCGTATTTCGTATTCGTGTCGGCGGGGCGGGGCGGGGCGGGGGCACGCAGGGCCGGGGTCAACCCTTTTGGGCAGCCGGCAGGGCTAGAGGCCGCGGCGTTTTGCCGTGGGAATGCCAAGGGCCAAGGGCCGCCCGCTTTTAGCATCACAATGCACTTTTTGGCGATCATCAAAAATTGCTCTAGACTGCTGCAATCCGTTCCGTTCCCACAGTGGCGTCCCCGAGCCTCGCCTCCGCGCCAGTCTGTTCGGACTTTGCTTCTTTCTTGGGACAAGTTCGCCACCTCGCCACCGCCGGGGCAGAGGCGCTGGATTATGGATGGCCCACGCCGTACTTTCCCAGTCTATGCCATTGCGCATTGATGGGCCACGGCCTGGATATTGACGAGCTGGCCGTGGTATGCAACAGTCCGCTGCACTGCCTATCATTACCCTTCCTTCGACCCAAACATCATGCCAGATACATGTCCTCAAACTATCCACAATTTCTCTTTTTGTTGTACGGTCACGCGAGTTTAGCGGAGATGCACTTGGAGGAGACGTCCACGAGGTGGGAGCGGGGAGGGGGAAAGGGGTGGGGGAGGAGCCGGTCACTTCCGGCCACAGACCGACTCATTTCCGGTCGCCGTGTTTTGCGAAGATCGCCGAGGGCGCGGCGTGGCTGCGCGGGGCGGCTCCCCTCGGCCGGGCGGACGCGCCTGGACGCGCCTGGACGCGCCGCCCCGACGACCCTCCCTGCCGGCGGGGCTGACCCGCGAGGCCCGCGCCCCCTCCCCTCGCTGGACAACGCGGAGGTGCAGGTGCAGCTTGTGCGGCTTCGGGCGGCCTCCTCAAGGGTTGCCACATCCTGCGCCGCGCAGCGCCCCCCACCTCTATTTTACCCCGGCCCGGAGCACGAGGCGCAACCGTCGGCAGATTCGGCCGGCCGCGCGCGCAGGGCGTGCCGGGCGTGCACCTGCCAACGACTGTCACCGCTGGCATCGCACTCCAGCCTGTCCGGGTGCCGTCAAAAAATTAAGGAAGTG